CCAGCATCCTGTTTATCTTTGTTATTTCTACATTTCTAACCCTTAATTGCACAATATGTCAATCTTCTCAGTGATTATGATGCTATTTTGTCTGAGCTGCACTCGTCCCCCTGTTTATAATAGCATTTTAATTCCTAATTGTAGTTTTACTAATTTGACCCTTGACAGGAAATTATTCTGGAAATTTCTCACCCAGTTATTATAAATACACGAATGTCCAGCTGTTTAGTTGATGACTTCGTCGAAAAACAAAATTTTCTTCGCTGCAACCGTCTTTTTATGCCCTATAAACAATAGTTCAAAAATGATAAGAAATTCATTTCACAATGGAAATTTTAATAAACAAAGCATAATAATAATAATACTAGAAATAATAACGGTTAGTTGTTAATGTAAAGAAACACTTCACAAAAGAATAAAACTGACACTCAGAATTCACAATAAAAAATAAAAAAAAATTTAACGCAAAAAGAAACCATTGACTTTTATTACTGAACGAACCGTCTCTTTTCCTTTCTTATAATGTGTAAAATATAAAAATAAAATAACCATTAGTATTTTCAGATTAGATTAGAGGAATTCCATAGATACACTTAGAATTCTCAGTCTGTATGTAGATAGACAGGAGTCTAGAAATGAGCAAATTAGGCTATATTGTCTTTTGGTAATGTTTTATCTTCTCAACTGTGAATGTAATCAATTGCAGTTAAGGTGATCAACAGAAAATATGATTATTTCATTGATGGGGAATTTGGAAAGTACACGTTATTTTAGAAATTCGTGAATAACAATCCCGATCCAGGCACTAATGAAAACAACAGAACTAGGAGTTCAGGGAAAAGGCTCTTTACAGCGAATTCATTCTACTCTTTAGCTGTATGATTATCATTATTCCTTTGCTTTCCTAATGGAATATAGTGGGGGGGGGGCGTCACCAACACATTTCCACTTTCTTCTTTTTCTTCTGTCCTCTTCAGCTGGGTCCACAGTTTCCCATAATCTCTCATCTCATCCTCCCCAGCAAATAATCTCCTCCATGTCGCCATCGCACTGACGATCCACTCGTTGCTTTCTATTTGGATTCCACTTGTGCAATGACCTGGCGCGCGATGTCATACGATGGTCTTCTCAATCCATACCTGATCAATTCATCTCCATCTTCTACTAAATATCTGTCGAGTGATCGGATTTTGGTTGGATTTCCACCCCCCACCCCCCGGGAGTTTCTTGTTACTTATTTCTTAATGAACGAAATATCCCCATATGGAGTCATAAGAAAAAAAGGCGCAAAAGAGCGAAGATTAGTCACTATCTCACCCTGTTACATCATGCCGACTTCTGCCTCTTTTCTAACTTACAATTAGTCATCCCTTCTTACACCTTACGTTATGTAATATATTCTTCGAGCACTAAGTCTACCAGTATCTGATTGGTTTAATTTTATCGGTTAAATGTAATTAGGGTTGTACAGTTCATGAAAATGAATCATCGAAAAGAAACTTTTCTTCGCTGTTTACGCCTTTTTCCTTACTTATTTTTTCTTTAGCTGTATAATGGCATTTATATACAATTTTTCTCATGAAAGCGAATTGTAACAAAAGTGATGAGCTGTCATAATAATAATAGCTGTTAATATTAACCAATGCATAAAGGGAAACTGAACAAGGGCATTCGAGTTACGTAATAAGGTGAATGAGGGAGGCGAAGGCGTATTGTCTTAGGTAAGTATTTCTTTACCTGCCGAAGACAATGTTCTTTCTTCTCCTTTGCATTGCTGAAACTGTAGCCATTCAGAGAAAGAAACCAGAACTCTCCATGCACAAGAGAACTATTCAGCCACTTCTACTGACATGTTAATAACTTTACTGCTTTTTACCAGCTTGCTTGTGCTTTACAAAAACATTTTATGCTTCTTACTCAACATCGAATTAGCTTTCGTTTCTATGTGTATCGTAATTACAACTCAGCCATTAGTTTATTCATCCTATTACGTAACTCTAATACTTTTGCTCAACAACTCAGGACTTTCCGGTTACAAGGGAAACTTGTAGACCATTCAGCCACTAGGGGACTGATCTAGCGGCCCATGATTCATGATTTTAGCGAGAATGGAATCAGCCAATGTCATCACTGGCGAGTATTTGTCTTCACTCCCGACATAATGGATCCCAGATTGTTACATTTTCTCACTAGAGCACTAACTCTAGGCAACTTCGTCCAGTACACCCTGGTAGTTTCCAGCAGTTCTCTAACTGGTATCAATCCATGGGCAGACTTATAACAAATCAAATCCCTATAAAACTAATTCACGAAAGCTGGCGGTTATGACAATTCATCACTTTTGTGACTATCCTCTTTTGTGGAGACAAGTTGTATTGTAAGTGTGATTATACAGCTAAAGTGAATCCACTGTGAAGAACCTCTTCTCTGAGCACCACTTGTTTTGTGTGTTTTTTTTTTCAAATATTTTTGAAATCCCCTTGGAAAATATCGTCTTGATGGGCAGTGTTTGACTATTAGACCACGCATCTGACACTAACACCATAACACCAGAATTAAGTAGAATAATAAAAATTTACACACCGAATAGTAGTTAGTTCTGCGATGGATAGAAATTAGACACCTTCATTTTTGTGTAAAATATACAACAACTGGTAATATTATGTGATACCTTATGGAGATTAAAATGTTTGTGATCATAATCATAGTTAAATGTCAAGTAGCAAAGCATGGTTACAAAGAGGTGGAAGTAGAGCAATAAGAAGCCCGATCATTGAACATCTGGTCGATAATGATCACTCTATCTCTACAGCCTCTGCCTTTAAAGTCATCTACAAGGCAAAGAGTAATTTACCCAAATCCCTACGTACCTGACTCATCTGTGTTGCTGAAGCTTTGGCTATCGAAAGAGAAAAGCCAGATCTCTGTGTACAGAAAAAGTCCGCTCAACCCCTCCAACTTTCATGGTCTTAATCCCTCCATGCTAAAGTATTGTAATCCCCAATCATATTTTAGCTCTACCAATTTTTCATTTTTTTTATTTTATCTATTCAATTTGTATACTCTTCCTTATTACGTCAATTGTTACCATTACTATTCTCATTTTGAACTGTCCCCGGTATTATTTCACTTGTTCCACTTGTCATTCTAAATCAATTCTTTTTTACAATGTTAAATTCTATGCTATTAAATTTCACACAATATAACGTAACGTTTTCATTTTTGTTTTATTCGATTTGCCTACTAATCCTATAATTGCACACTCTTTGTCAAGTTCTATCCATCCTATGAATTATTCTGCATATGACATTAATTTGTTTTTCGCCACTTAACATTTAACTATGATTATAATCACAAACATTTTAATTTTTTAATTGCATTTCGTACTACTATTATTATTACCTTATGGAAATGACAGATGTAATCAGACTATAGCAACTGTGAGACTTTACTGAAACCAATAAATGTTTCTAGATAGTGAAAATACAATCTTATCTCTGTTTTTAAAGATATTAATATTATACAAAGTGGAAAAATTCACTAAACTTTTGTTGTTATAACTAACAATAAAAACCGAGGGATAAGAATCAGTAGAATTGTATAAACAAAACTTTTATAATTATTTGAGTGCCTTGATATGATTTTTAAAAGTTCTTTTACATTCCTAGGGAAACATGGGGGGGGGGAGTGGCTTCAAGCTTTGCGCTTTGAAGTTTCACTAGCAGTAGTGTCACTTTTCAACATGATGCGGTTGCTGATTTCATGTCAAACCTTCCTTCTTTTCCAGGACTATCTACAGGTTAGGCGAGGTTATGGAATGGATCAGCCAAGAGTCAAACCTAGAATGCGTATGTGGTCTATGATTATTCCACGATTGAAACACCAATGCTTCTCAGCTGTCCTAGGAAAGATCATGTGTACTTTTTTTGTTCTCTGCAGTGTACCTTCTCCAACAGTCTCTAAACTGGAACCAGTGAAACAACGTGTATTTTGTCCAACGGATGGTGTTGGCGGTGGCGTCGGGGTACATGAGCTTGTCCGACTCCGTTCGCAACTCGAACTCATACTGCAAGACCTTGATGTGATTATGAGCAGTAGACTGTGCGGGAAACATTATCAATAAATAACGCTTTATCACTGTGTATTTTTTTTTACCAAATGGAATTATTCAATGATCGAAGTATGTAAGAGGTTAATTGTCAGGCGTATATAATGATTTGCTAATGTTATCTGTGTTTGTCCGTGGCGCAGAGGTAAAGTGCTCGCCAGCCACTCAGGTGGTCCAGGGTTCGATCCCCAGCCGATACACTCCCAAACCTTGCCTAGCTGGTAATAAGCCTGGCAAAGAGCGGGCGGGGTTGGGCGTGAGACTAGCAGTTCCACCCTGTAAAAATAAAACCACTTCCGCTGAAACTTCAAAATTCTAGTTTGAAGCCCCCTATGTTCCACTGGGTACGCAAAATAATAAAATCAAAAAAAATTAAAAAATCGGTGTTATTTGCGTTGGTGTTTCATTGGTAGAATACTCTCCAACCATGAACGTCGTCCGGGATTCTATCCCCAGCCGATGCACCAAGCCGGCAGTCAGTCCGGTAAACAGGGAAGGTTAGGTAGGCCTGAGGCTAGCGACCCCACCCCCTGCTACTGAGATTCTAAAGCTGAAGATTGAAGGCTTATATTGCATTTGGAACATAAAGGACTAAAAAAAGAAACAATATATGCATATTATCCACTAGTATAAGTCTCACAACTCATATCCTGGTTCCCTCGCCGCAATGGTAACACAAGCTATTTCAAAGCCTACTCAACACTTCTCTTTCGACTGGTTTAATCATATGCTAGATCAACATTTTAACAAATATCTGTCATTATAGCACACAAACATACACACAGGCAGCATGAAATACAAATTATAAATGAAATTTGGCTTAAAAGTATAAAAGTTTTTGAAAAAAAAGCGCAACAACAAAACAAAACAAAATAAAAGTTTACTGACTTACTTATCCTTTAATAGTGACCAAAGTTCACCGCCCAGACATACTTCAAGCAGAAGATAAAGGTACTTTGTATCTCTGAATGTTTTACACAATCTAGTAACAAGGAATAGAAAAAAGTAAAGGTAAAAACAAAATTTTATGAATGTAAAACTGATTTCACCTAGGTTAGGATCAAAAAGTAAGATTGTTATGTTTAGAAGGATCATTTGTGAACTAGATGTAGTTGCATCCCAAGTGATTGACAGTGTTCCCATTAAAACTCAAATGGATACGATAGCCACTGCACGAGAGGTGACTTAAAATAGCCTAGTGAATAGTTCTTCGGAACAAGTAAAAAATATTAATAATTAATAGTATAGCACAGGAGATTGAATGAATTCATCAGATTTCTGTAGGATACCTCTCCAGCTAAATGTTCTATATACAGTGATATATACATACTGTGGCGTGTACTACCGATAAAATTTATTAGGAATATGTGAAGCGATATTCATTGGTATTATTATTTCATTTAATTCCTATAGGAACATAGGGCTTCAGCTTCACGTCTCCATTGCGTTTGGTTCGCTACCAACGTTTTTACCCCGCTCCAAGTCTGCCCACATGCTTTCATCTCCTCTTCACATGACATCCTCCAAGTCACCCTGGCAGTGACAACCAACTCGCCGCTTCCCTTTCGGGTTCCACTCGAGCGATGGCTTGTCTAGTGATGTCACTCACTTAGTGGTTTCCTCAGAGGATGGCCACCAATCCACCTGCATTTCTTCCTGACTATTTGTTTCACAATCGGTTCGTGGTTTGTTTGCTCATTGCCAGAGATCCCTGTGGCTGATGTTTTCTGGCCGGCCATTTGATCTTGAGTAATATTGAGCGAAGACAGCTGGTAATGAAGGTCTGAAGTTTGTTTGAGATGCTCTTTATGACGCGCTACCCAAGTCTCTGATCCGTATAGTGAGTAGCACTGACTGACTTCACATTGAAGTTGAAAATCCGGATCTGATTTTCATTTTTCATGCTGAGTGCTGTTCGCCTCCACACAGACTTGAAAGTAATGAAAGCTTGTTTTGCTTTTCCGATTCTGGCTTTGATATCCTCGTCAGTTCCGTCGCCTGTAGTTGAAACGATGCTTCCCAGGTGGGTGGGTAGGTAAAGGAGGTTGTTTCTTTCAGGTTCCTCCCATTTATGCTGGCTGATTGTTGTCTGTTGTTATTGGTGGTGTTGCTGTTGGCCAGGAATCTTCATCACCTCGGTTTTATCTATGTTCACCTGAAGTGATGTCCTATCTTTGATGCTTCTTGTGCCAACTTGTTGCTTTTCAGACATACACCAGACATTCATCAGTATAAAAACATCAAATAGCAGGGAGATAAATTTGATGTCAGAGAAAGCAAATGATAAAGCGTTGCTTGCCGAGAAGCATACGAGACGTGAAAAGAACAGAAAGAAACACACTACGAAGGAAGGCCAGAAGTAGCACAACACAGAAGATCTGTGGAAATGGTGATTTTAAGATAAATTATATGTAATTTCGCCATATACAGATACCAGATCCATTTACCAGGTCTTTCGTTTTTTACTGTCACAATACTATTAGGAATACATTGAACTATATATATGACTTATAGGTAAATAAGCTATACAGTGACCTGCTTAAACTACTGGGTAACCAGAATTTATATCTATTTTAATACTTAAAACCTGCTACATTTTTACTGTCTTAATCATGCAGTTATATCATACGAGCATTACATGAACTTGTGCACGTATCCAGTTAGCATTCAACAAAATGCTGTTCAACTGTTGAAGGAAATGTAGACAAAAATCTATTGATTTAATTCTCTGTTCATATACGACAACACTACGTTCATATAATATGCTTCAGATTATTACTTTGCATGCAAATCCTGTCTCTGTCTGTCTGTCTGTTTTCGACATAGAACTTTGCACCGATGTGCGGCAGTTCAAGTCGCCACTCCATAGGGTAAGTCGGGATGTACAATTTTTGGAGTTGACCTTTTCTAACCCCCTCTCTCCAGAGTGGAGAGACAGTATCGGTGGCTGGCATGCTGGTCATCTGAAGGGAAACACCTCACTGCTGTTACACCCATGTTCCCCAGCAGTACGACTTCGTCCCCCAGCATAGTGCAAGAACGATTCGCTATCCTAACAACCTTCCTGGTATGGTGGGACCTGAAGGAACATTGGTTCTAGCCACTGCAGCTTCTTGGATCATCGCGATGTACAAGCCCGACCACCACATCAAGGTAGCAGCTATCGGTTGGGAAATCCTGTATTAGGGGAATTATGTATGCTGAAGGTTTCAGTTCTGTTTTTGTCAGAAATTAAGCTTTATTATTAATCATGCTAAATGACGGGAGCCATTATATAATATTACAAACCATTTCCATAGAGATAAAATGCAAGGGACATGAGGGAATAAGATAAAAATGATAATGGAATATGGTTCATTTACATATACAGGGACGGTAAAATAAGCAGAAGTGTACATAGAAAACCAATACCAACTGGTCAGTATACTCATTTAATTCATTTACGTGCCTTTGAAATACAAACGTAATCGAATAAAATGCTTAGTCCGCAAAGGAAGAGCAATCTTCTCAGAGGAATGTCTTAAATGGAGAGCTTAATATTTATTAAACAGTTGCTGAGTGAGAACGGTTACTTAGAAAATTTGATCGATAAGAATATAAATCGAAAATCAAGGTAGGCCGAGGTACCATCCAGTTCCGAAAGAGGCCTTGTTCTTACAACTTCTGTTCTTTGGGGATAACATCAGTGCGATATTAACACAGTGCCTAAGGAATACGGCGGTAAAAAGAGCATTCAATGCTGCTGACTTATGATGTGTATTCGAAACCACCCCTGTTTTGTGTTCCAGAGTTAAAGACAAGCTGTCTAATTTCGCCTCCTCCATGTGTATTTACCAATTTAACTGCTCCTGTGGAGTCAGTTACATAGGTCGGATTTCCGGACACCATCCCTTGTGTTTAAGCAAAGGATAAACCAAATCCATTCACAGACCTATTCTGTCTCATCTTGTGGAGACAGAACACACGACTGATGTTAACGAGGCGGCTTTCAAAGTCATCTACCACCTATCAAATCGTATCTTCGCCTTAGGAATTCGTCTAATACATATTTCTGAGGCTATCCTTATCTAAATTAAGAAACCTGACTTATGTATCCAAAGGAAATTGGTTCAGACACTGTCGTTACTTTGGCCATCAAGGTTATAATGATCCTCAATTAGTTGTGGAAATTTTATTTGATGTTCTATTTGCTATCACATTTTTATGCTTATTATAATTTATGCATCTATAATGGACTGTAATTCCATTGATGTTACTTAACAAATCGATATTATTTTGAAAAAAACATCAATATTGTTAATCATGATTACCTCATATTATTCTGTGTATATGAATATATAGATATATAATTGTAGAGCCAGAAGAGGAAATTACCGAAAATGATATTGTTTGCTCCTCTTCTTTTAAGTGTCTGGATGAGTATTTTCGCTGTAGCTTAAACAAACAATTAATTAGAGGATTTCATCGTGAACTGACACTGGTTAGAGAACCATTGGAAAACCTGCAGGGAGTACTGGACAGTTGTTCCGTCCTAGTTTGGGACTCTTCAGCAGTACGCACCCACCGGAGTTCGAACCCAGGACTTTCTGGTTACAAGGCTAGCGAGCTAGTAGACTATTAGGCCACTGGAACGCGATCAATTGGCACTTCATGAATTCTAACTTCTGCCGATTCGCGATATAGCGCGACCGCTAGCCAATGTCTTTGGCGAGTGCTTGTCCTCACATCCAACCTACTGCACCCTGCTAGTCACGACTTCTCACTAGAACCCCAGGTAACTACCTACCTGAATAGGGCGAGTCGCTAGTGAGCATCGCATCGATATTCAAATGTTGGTTTGTAGGGATTTGATTGGTTAGTTACAGGATTTCATCATGAGCTGACATTGATTAGAGAACCATTGGATGGGTGCGTACTGATGAAGAGTCCCAAATCCAGAAAAAAACAGCTGTTCAGTACTCCCTGCAGGTTTTCCAATGGTTCTCTAACTAATGTCTGCTCATGATGAAATCCTGTAACCAATCAAATCCCTACAAACCTACACTTGAAAATAATTTATTGTCAGAGAAAGAACTTGAAGACATCAAGTATTGCAATAATAATGGAAAGAGTTTAGATAATAGCGCTGACATAAAATAGTTTTAAATGAGTCAGTATTAATAAAAATAATAATAAGAGATGCAATATAATCTTAATAAGTAGCCAATATTTCATTAGAGGCAGAACATTTCGCTCCAATCAGTCGATGGGAACATCAAAATTGAATTCGAAGTGCGATTCAAAGTTTTAATCGAAATTTAAAAATCATACAGCCATTAGATAGGATTCTAGACATGTCACGTCAAAAGGGGAGTACAGTCAACTCATAATGCTTTAAACTTACCGTACAATGAAATCGGAGTCGGTTTGTAACATGATATTGCGTTCATTCATCACGTGTTCTTCTTGTTTAGTTTCAACTATATGCTGTTTTTTCATCTTTTTTAAAGCATACGTTTTTGTTTTATCATCACCTATACATACCTAGCGAAATAAATAAAAGATGAATACGAAATATACGCCCAAATCAAGTTCACTTTTAACAATTTGAAATAAAATTTCGGCATTAGGTGTATGTGATATTCATTACAGTAAAGGTGTTTTCTTGTATTTCCCAATGAATGAGAAACTGACTTTTCGTTATTTCATGCTAATATCTTTATCAAAGTATTATTAAACCAGAATTTAAAAATTCCACTCAGCTTATATATAACAACTTAATCATCGTTTCTCAGCATTGAACTTCATCAAGAAAATCAACACTGACATTAAGTATGGTTAAAAACGTATTCTGACAACAGGGACCTCAGCAGTTGTTATTCTATATAGATCAGAGACGTCAGACGATATCATCAGAAGAGTACTGAATAAGCACGACATCAGAGTTTCCTTCAAAACATCAGACATGCTGCAAAACCACCTTGTCCACATAAAAGAACAAATCTCTAAGGATTCTCTATCTAATTGTGTCTACAAAATAAAATGCTTGGAAGGTGATGTGATATACATCGGACAAACATCGCCGGAGAGAAATCAAAATCAGAAGAAATGAACACCGTAGAGCCGCCTCTGTTCGACCATCGAGAAATCTATTTGAACTACAAAAGCTTGAAAAGTCATCAGCCATAGCTTGTCTACGCGCAACGCTTTAGAATCAGGTCACAAAATCGGTTTTTACAATATTGAAATAATCCAGAAAGATTTCAGAAATTACAAAGGACGTCTCATATCAAAAGTACCTCATTATATCTAATGGAATCTAAATTGTCTGAATAGGAATGATGGACTAAAACAGAATTTGACCTGGTTACAACACCTCCCCGCTGTGGAATGACAAAATCAACACGAATGTGATAAGCAATTTCATTATGTAAAAACACAAGCTGCTTTTATAATTTTACACAGTGATCAAATCCAACAGTCTACACACCTGGTTGTTTTATCTTTACCAATTGACCAACTTGACAAGCAAAAATGACCCATACTGAGGAACAATGATTAAGCTGTTATATATAAGCTGAGTGGATTTTGTAAATTCTGGTCTAATAATACTTCGATAAAGCCATCAGCATTAAATAACGAAACTTCAGTAAAAACAACGGTATAGTCTTGTTTTTCATTCATTAGGAAATACAAGAAAACACCTTTATTACAATGAACTTTTAAATAGCGTTTCTCAAATATGAGAAATTCAATGATAGAAAGCTCAATAAAGGGAGTGACCTAAATAAAATCTTACCTGCGTGATATATATATATATATATTGCGTTTCTAGTGGAACATACGTCTTCAAGCCCTGAAGTTTTTGTATCGCTGGTGTTGTTAGTTTTATTGGGTGGAGTTTCTAGCCTCATTCCCATCCAACCTTCCCTCTTTTCCGGGTTTAATATCAGCTGACGGAGCACTTGGAACCCAGACCACATTAGCTGTAGGCGAGCATTCTACCACTGAACAACCGATGCACAGTGTTATCTGCTTGGCCACTGGGTTACAAAATTAGGGAGTCCTCGACATCTCTTTTGTCTAATCCTATCGGGCTACAGACTCAGGATTTGTTATTTTACCATCACTACACATCATTTCGCCAAATAAATAACTGATACATAGCACTAATGTGCTCTGTTGTTACATTTGATATCACCACTTTCGACTATACGAAGATCCCTTGACCTGCAGCTTACAAAGAGGGAGATGTTCAAAGTTTTCTGAAGGATGTCGAAGCTGTTGTTGAGTTGATGAGCCTCCGAACTCCAACCACAAGTTTGGAGCAAGAACCACCGGTGTTGAGACTAAGGCTGTTAAGCCTGCTCGGCCGTTCGTTTTTCACGCCTGACGAAAAGTCTGCGGTACATTCTTTGACACTGGATTTTATCAAAAGCTTTTTGGATTCCAGTACCCACCGCCGATGATCAGTTAACGCCACACAATATACGGACATCAGTGAGCCGGCGAATGTGACCACACAGTAATTAAGTACAACTGCAGTCATAACAGAACCACCAAAAATCAATCAGAGTGAATAACAAACTGAATATTTTCAAGTGTTCAGTATTACTCAGTACACTGAAGAGCCCTGACCTTGGGTGAAACAACTATCCAGTACTGAAATCATCTAGTGATTAAACTTGAAACTGAAGATTTTCATCAGTAAGTAGAGGTACTATTTAGTACAGATCAGTGTCTGAACATTTGAAGAATTACTGTCCAGAGAGGCGCAAAAAGAATTTTAGACAACAGAATTTGTTCTTTCTTTCATATCGGACCAGAAGTTTCAGGTGCATTCAAGAGTAGTGTGATGTATTCTAAGTTACGAGAAAATGACCGTTACATACATATTCATTGAATAGCCTACTTCTTTAGTAATTTGTGTGACTGCGGAACTTAGATATCTGTCTCTGCACTAACAGGTTCAGGAGACTCAGTATACCTCTGAAGTCACTTCGGAATATATTTAATAGCCCTTGCATAGGAGATTGAATGAGTTCTCTATATACGTATATGTGATTGTAAATAGGTTCAATTGAATACATACAATAGTATGTGAGGCAATCATTTACTTTTCTTGTGAACTTAGAAGGATATATGGAATCGTCTTTTCAATTAGGTCTTCAGTTTACTTTAATATAATATTTAGCGTCAAGATACAGAAATCCTAGATTTAAACAACATTAATCTGAATAGAACGGCAAGTAAATTGTTGATGTCTTCTGTCCAGAGCAGAAGGTCTTGCTATACATAGAAAAAACACTTAGCTATGTAGACAGAAGTGGTTGGTCGTATCCCCTTCACTGTCTTGACTTTAAACATATTTTTGAACTGTACTGCCGATGAGTCCGGAACTAGGCCGAAACATCTGATTTGGATTTATTCATATTGGTTTTCGTCTTCTGCTTCCCTTTCAAACTTCCGAGTCACTTACTATTATGAACAATATTCCTGTTCCCAGATGCTTACCGTCTTAAGGGCAATCATATCTGAAAGATATTCCCACTTAACGCTTTGATATGATGTGAGACCACTTAACTAAGTTTCGTATTTTACTCATTATCTTCCTTACATGTAATTTTACATGTTGATTACTAAGCGATACCAATAAGTGACCTTTATCAGCATTTCCATAACCTTTTTAGAACACTAAATAACTGTGGAGTTTTGAAGCGAAGTTCCGAAAATAAATATTCGTTGCTTTGATTTATTTCTTCCTAACTTTCAAAATATATTGGGAAACAAATACATATATAATAGGCTGATTAATGAGCAATCTATGTGATTGACATTCGATGCTTGGACGCAATCGGCAGGAAGCCCAGCCTACCCTAGGTTTCGTGCTAGTTGGCACTCACCACCAGTCAGCAAGGCGTATCTGCAACCTTGAAGGAAATAATTTTCCTTCGGAGATTCATATTCGTTCCATTCAGTACTGCAGTCAGAGTTGTTACCACTGAGCTATTCGAGCGCGCGTGTGACGTCTTGTAGGACTGTACTGGATACTTTGATTGGGTCCTGGTAACCAGTGTGATGTGTCTAGCAACAGGTGAAGCGGTTTAGAATCTCAGAAGGGACATTAGTTCCTTCGAAGATGGAGAAACGCCCTGCTGACTGGTGAGTATCAACTAGCACGAAAACTAGGGTAGACTGGGCTTCCAATTGATCGCCTCCAACCATCTAATATCAATGATTCAAAGTGCACAGTGATAGCGAGGTAACTAGAATGGTGGCCACATTGCAAACCTTACTGATAGAATTCAGTCTGCACCATACATAGGACTGGACACATCACACTAGTTACTGGTGTCCAATCGGAGAACACTCTACATTTACATGACGGTAATAAATGAATAAATATTTTTATTTACAACATTCATGCTATTTTAAATTGTATTAAATCAATAGTGTCGATAGATTACAGTTTAAAAGCATCAGTTAGTGAGAGATAATATGCATAAATATAACACTAAAGTGATTGAATATCAGATGAACTAAAGGAAGTTAAACAGATTTTATGAATTTATAGGTTAGACAGCAGTCCAGGGTAGCAATAGTAGCTGACTGGACCTATTTCTTTTGTACACAGTGCTCCGGTTGTTTTAAGGCGATCGCAATCGCCTCTGCTGTTTTGAGTGTTCGGTATCTGTAGAAATTCGGTTGTTTCCTTGATACCTCGTAGACGATAGAGGAATACTCTTCCATGTTTGCTTGTGGTCTGCCTGCATGAGGTGGTTCAATGTAGAACTGTTTTTACAGTTCTGGCAACACAGTTATTCAACCATACTGAGAGATGTTCCCAAGAACGAAAAATTAGGTTCTTCTGACAGCGGTCAGTATATCTGGCTTCACCAAAGGAGCACTTGAACTGATGGATACAATTAGACGTGACTAGCCTAATAAGTACTTCATCTTTCAGTTTCGAGATCACGTTCGGTTGTGTGGGAAATATGATATGCAACTTTTGAACATTAAACGTCTTTTGGATGAATTTTCTTAACTTGTTGGTTATGATTTCACTTGGTATATTACCTTTGAATTGCAGTCATATTTATAGAGGCTTCTTGTGAATAAGTATGGAAGGATTATTTTCTACTTCAGTGGCCATGTGTTTAATGAAACACTTTTCTAGGTAGCCATCTTAATTACCGTGTCGTATACACCTTTGAGTTTGTCTTCGACCGCATCTTCCGAATAAATATCTTTGGCACTATAGCTGAGGGTCTTTTATACTGGAGGAGAACAGATCTGTGAAAATGTGTATATTGACAAGTCTAAGTACTTTTACTATGCAAATTGTTTTTCATGCTGTTTTTGGTCTTCTTGTCGGTAAGTCGTCTAAGACGGTAGTTTAACATTGGGATTCCTCTTCACACGTGAATTCGACAGCTGAATGTGCTTCATTTATTCATTCATTCAACTGAGTTATTATTGTGTTCCTGTGCATGTAGTTTTCACAAAAAATGAATGCATCATCCATATATGGGCAATAAAATAATAATTTTCTGATAAGGTCGTTCATAGGACAACTTTCTAGTTTACTCAGAAAGAAATCTGTTAACATGGGACTCAAGAGAGAGTCCGTTGCCACTGTATCCACCTTTCTTTGGTGTTCACCGTCAAATTTAAACTTCACATTCATTGTACACTTTAGTAACAATTATTTTACGATTTCTACTTGGATCTCAGTATTTATTGACGGTTTATTTATTTGTTCTTAGATGTAATTAGAGGTACATCTGTAAATTAGAGAAGTCATGTACAAAGGTGTCATAGTTTTATCTTTGGTATTAATATGTTTAATTCTGTCTGTGAATTCAAATGTATTTTGATGTGATTGTGTTTTCTAAGCTGGATAGTTAATTTGCGAAGCTTTCATCGCCCCACCGATAGGCGACATCCTCAGCGCATACTTCAATTCGATGAAGTGAGCTTTTAGATTTCTCCACAAGTTTATTAATCATCTCTCCTAGCGGGTGACCTTGGACGTGATTGGTTGTTTTGTGTGTTTTCACACCTTCTAGGCGGCTAATTGTATTGGAACTGATTGTTATTTTGACTTGAACTTTAACCCTTTGTGTGTGTGTGTGAGGTTTCTTTCTTATCAGTTGATAAATTTTGTCTATCTCGATGTATCTATTGATTGATGATTCACTGGAATGCCAAGCTTTTAAAAATTCTCTAGCATTCTGTCTAATATTTAAACATTGTCCCAGTCGAATTGATGTCCGTGGTTGTCTGTATGCAGTGTGATGATATTAGGGAGTGTATGTCATGTCTTTTGACGGCTAGCTTATGTCCGTGGATAGGAAGACGAAGGGGACGTCAACTTTGGCCAATGTGATGTTTTTCGTGGTTGTTACAATTTATTTTGTAGATGATGCTGGTTTTATCTTCTTTCACTGTTGAGTCTTTTGGTTGACATGGAGCGAGCTGAGTGAAGTGATTTTGTTGGTTTGTGTGAGACGTCAATTCCTAAAGGTTTGAAGAGTCTTGTAGTGATTTCTGAGATATCCTTTATATATGGTAAGGCGATTTTCTTTCTGCTTTCTTCCACACTATAGGAATGTTTACCGACCATTTAGCTAGAGCATGGTACAGTGAATTGTGCATATCTAGAATTGGTATTAACGGCGCTTCACGTTTATGTATTTTGAGTAGGCCACATAATCTTGGTGTGTTTATTCTCGTGGATGTGATTTCGTCATATAGACTTGTGGATATTATTTGTTTTTCCCTTAGTTTCCTTAAACGTCTTAGGTATATTCTGAAATATATTTGAGATGCAGTTTAAGTATCTCTTGAAGCCGGTTTTTCAAGGCAACTCGGGTTAGGCTATCAACCAGAGCGCTTAACTTGGCAGCTGTAGGTTCTGAGTCCTCTCTACTTCATATAGATTTTGCATTGATTTGATAAATAAAAGCTTGCTAGCGTATCATTACTCACTGTGCTTAGTTATCTGAGGTTTCAAACAGTTAATTTCTTCTTTATGATAATGTGAGCTAATCTCAGAATTTTTAAAATTATATTATTTGAATTTAGTAAGCTACACTTATATACTTCTTGCCCTTTAAATAGTCTGATTGACTCCGGCCTACAAAGCTGAATAGGAATAAGTCGTTATTTGTTACGAATATCTGGACACCTCTGTAAATTCAACGATAAAGCGCGGAAGGAAACAAGAATTAAGGGAATCTAGTTTTATTAACTGTAGTGTTGGTTTTATTATACCTAAGAAAATCAAATTTTATTTGTAAGGTCATTCTGTATTACTTTTCTGTGACACGGTTCTATGACAGCCTATGGCTCCGAAACTAAGTAAGAAAACTCTTATGGCAATAGAGGAACGCATATTCAAATAGAGGAAGAGGGGATCATAACAATAATACCATGGAAGCTAACTATGTAACGGTATGGCAGGAGACGTAGGCTTTGTGTGACTAACAGTTAACCACTATCGATTCGTCACATGAAAATAGCCGACATCATGTACTGACGTACGTGTTCATCAAGGGTAGTGGGTAACCTAACATCGTGACATACGATTGCAGGTAGTCAACCAGAATTCGTGGATCTGAGCTTCGTGCTTATTAGTAATCTTTAATGACCAACTATTGTAATCAGTACAGTCCTTCAGGATGCCATTTTCAGCCCCGAACAACCCAATTCCTTTAACGTGGGTGCAAACAAGCACATAACTAAGGCCCAGGGTTTTCTATCGACTGCTTCAAACCATCTAACATCAAATAGTCAGACATAATGGCATCTCAGAAATTGTATGATATGGAATTCACTATGTGTGGTTCATTCTCCCCCCCCTCTAAAATGGTCCATCATTTCAGTCTGCTCAATAATAATAATGAGACTTTGAAAGCAATGTAATGGAGAAGGTTTGTAGTTTTGGATGAATAAGATTATAACACTTATGTTCTTTAAGTTGGATGATTTAATTGCAAAACGTTTATTATCTTTCTAGACCAAATCTTCAGCTCAGAATTCAGTATGACATGAGCTTTTAAAATTACCCAATGGTTTATTAGACATTTTCCTTGGTAACGTTGAAGGTGAATGGTTGTTTTTGGAGATTTCCCCCACCCTCTTAGTTTACTTATATTGGTATTTATTATTTCGTTTGTCAGACAGCTAACCTTTTGTCAGAGTTACCTCTTTTACTGGCTGTTACATTTTATCTGTGCGAAGGTACTTGCTGATTGCGGATTCGTCTGAGAACTAGGCTTCTAGAAATTCCCCAGAATTTTTAGATGTTTCATTTGCCTGAAATTTTACCTGATTAAAAATGCCCATCAAAATTTTCAAAAGAATGGATACTGAACAAAGAGTACTCTTTTCGATAAATTTATCATCAGGCTCTACAGTTATATATACATTATAGCGAATGAATGAATTAGTGTTATGAACAACATTAATGTTGCTGTTTAAATAACATCGAATCAATAATATTGATAGATTACTGTTTTGATGTGATTTTGTTCTCTGAGCTGGATAGTTAGTTTGCGAAGCTTTCATCACCTTACTGGGTGACATCTTCAGCGCATACTTCAATTTGAAGTATGCGCTGAAGATGTCACCCAGTAAGGTGATGAAAGCTTCGCAAACTAACTATCCAGCTCAGAGAACAAAATCACATCAAAATTATCCACCTGAGCTACAAATCTTCTCTATCATATCTAAATAGATTACTGTGCTCAATAGCATCAACATAAAATAAGCTGAATGTCAGAAAAATTAGGAAAGATAATATTACAAATTCATGAGTATATAGTTTCTACTGAGGGCCAGGGCAGTAGTAGTGGCTGGCTGAACTTGCTTCTTTTGCACACATAGCACTGGTTGTTTGAGGCGAAATACAATAGCCTCTGCTCTTTGGAGCATGCGGGGCTTAGATGATTTTGGCAATTTATTAGACACCCGGTAGATGATAGAGAAGGATTCTTCAACGCTGGCTGGCTTTGTGACCGGTTTGGACCAGATAGTCTTGTATTGAACTGTTGATGGTTTTAACTACACCTTTACTTAGACATAGTTGGAGATGTTCTCGAGCATGAGAAATTAAGTTCCTAGATTGACGGCCGATAAAACACGCTCTACCAGAAGCGCAGTTGAACTGGTAGGTACAATTTGAAGTGGCTAGTCTAGGTACTTCATGTTTCAGTTAAGGTAGCACCATCGGACGTGTAGAGAATAATACGTGTAGTTCTCCAGCATTAAAAGTTTTTGAATTGATTTTCTTAATTTCCTCGTAATTATCTCACTTGGTATATCGCCCTTGAATTGTGGTCGTATATAAAGAGGCTTCTTGTTTACAGATAGTGAGTAGTCCTTTTCAGCTTTCTTTCTAAAATTTGTACATTTTTGCAGTCAAATCAATTTCTCTAGTCGTTTGCATGCTTCAGTGTGACAGCCAGTGTATCTTTGTGGAGACAGAGATGGAGAGGGCGTTCACTTCTATCAGTTTGATGTCTTTCACAGTTGATTCAATTTATCTTGTAGACAATCTTAGTTTTGTCCTCTTCCTTTGTTACATTTTTTCGTTGATATAGTACAGATTCAAGTGACTGTGTTGGCTTGTGGGCAACATCTATTCCAAAAGTTTTCAACAGCCTCGAAGTGATTTCAGACACGTTCTTAATATGCAGTAGGACGACCTTCTTTGTGCTTTTGCGAGATACTTTCCAGTTGGTTGTCTGCTTTGACATTAGGCATCTTTTGATAAAATTTCATGAATATCTATTTTTCCGGAAGACAGTCAACTTTCAGACCAACAAAGTAATATATAGTAATTCAAGCGGAAGAGAGGGTTAGTACACCTCAAGAAACAGTCAGTCATCTCTAAGGTTATCAGGAGAAATGTCTAATGAATTAGTGAATTGTGCGCTGAAGTAATGTTGTCCATAACTCAACCATTCAGCTTGGGGAAAACAAATGTACCAAGTTTGAATGTGTTACAGATACATTTCATCATGCTTTTCTTCTGGTTCCTCTTCGAATTTTGTAATTGATAAGCCGTGAATAAAAATCAACTCAATTATGAATTCTTTCTGTACAATTTGAAGTCAACTTTAATGCTTAATTAAAACAAAACACATTTCATTGTATTTACTTACTAGTTCGACTCGTCCAAATCCACCTGAGCCTAGAGTAGAAATGATTTGTAGCTTGTCTAACTGTAAATTCTGAAATTCTGGTTTAAATTCGCCTAGTCTGAAAAACAGTAGGTTAAGGCAAAACTTTGAGTAATAAATAGTAGAATTTGTAGTAGTATTAATAGTATTGTATTTAATGTAACAAAAGCTTCTGGTGGCTGAAGCACAAAAAATCGTCCATGCTTGAAAAATGTTTCTGTACACGCGTTTCGCCAAAAGCAATAGTCAGTCTGTTATTCGAATGAAGAAGAGTAATATCAGGAATTAAGATCTGAATCATATCGATTTCCATCGGGAACTGTGTTGGAATTCCACCTCAGAGTGTGTAATTTGCAAAGAATGAATTTACTCCTATGTAATATCACCAAAAACAAGCACCAACGGCGTACACCAGGTCGTGTGTAAGGTCAAACACTGATATGTATCCATATAATATGTGTGTTTGTTTGACAGTCTGATATATTTTGCTATGTATATATGGATCGATATTCCATTATAATTAGCCAATCATGTTAAGACTGTCTATTGATTTGTTCATTTTGAATGTTCGCTCACACACTTGTGTTCACACACATATTCATTTCTCTCACACTCTTGTTTGACATATTGATTCTCCTGGTGTTTGGAAAATAGAAGTATCATCGCAAACCTAGTGGTCTTCTGATTTCCGTCTTTCTTGCGTCAGGACTATTAAATTCTCGACCAGTGCGTAACAAACACTCACCGATGACATTGGCACATGGAAATCACGCCATATTGTGAATTGGCAAAAGTTGGGATTCATGGGCTATTGGGTTGAGCCTCAGTGGCTTAATGGTCTATGAGCTAGCTCGCCTTGTAACCGGAGAGTAAACCTTGGTAGGTGCATACTGTGAAGTGTCCCAGACAGGGATGAAACAGCTGTCCAGCACTCCCAGATTTTCCAGTACTTCTGTGACCGATGTCAGCCGATGATGAAATCCTGTAAACAGGTACCAGTCACTATCAACAGAAGACATTCGATGGAAGTTACCTCTCTCACTTATCTAAGCTGCATCGTTTCAACTACAGGCGGTACGGATGGAGATGTTAGAGTCAGGATCGGAAAAATCAGTCTGGAAATCTACTGTACTCAGCACAGTTATGTCAGCTCATGATGAAATCCTGTGGCCAATCAAATCACTGAAAATCAACACTTAAAAAAAGAATTAAATTCAAATTTCCGACACTAATGTCAAGCCACTACTTCTATGGGAGTCAGACATTCATCAACAGCCGCCTTTTCCACCTTGATACTGAATGTAAGATGGCCGTAAAGGATTGGTAACGATGAACTCTGTCAGCGAATCAACCAAGAACCTGTTGCCCTACAAAAGTGCTGAAGATAATGGAGACGGATTAAACACACACGGTGAAGAATTTCTTCAATGATACGGTATTCCAAGCACCCCAGTGAAATGCGAATAGCATAAAACGAGTTGGGTCTGCGTCCTAGGGCAACACTGAAGAGATGGTGTGAAGGGGAGATTAGGGCTTAAGGATATTCATAGAATCAGCTAAATACTGCCAGATAAAACAGAACGACCTTAATTAACAGTTGTCTTTGCTCAATACTACTCAAAATCAGATGGCTGGCCAGAAAAGATCAGCAACAGGGATCTCTGGCAATGGGCAAACCAACGCAGCAGGAACCGATTGTGAAACAAATGGGCAGGAAGAAATGGAGATGGATTAGAGACCATACTCTAAGGAAACCATCAAGTGACATCACTAGACAAGCCATTGCTCGAGTGGAACCCGAAAGGGAAGTGGCGAGTTGATCGTCTCACGGTGGGGTGACTTGGAGGAGGTTATGTGAAGATTAGATGAGATCATGTAGGCAGACTTGGAGTGGGGTGAAAAGGTTGGCAGAAAACCGAAAGCAATGGAGACGCGCAGCTGAAGCCCTATGCTCCTCCAGGAAGTAAAGGATAAAATAATAATAATAATAAAACAGAACGAAATGGAAATTTGTTGTTGAAGCCCTGTGTTCCAGTCGGAACATGAGAGAATAGTAATAATAAAATAATATCCAATTATATACCATTTCGCCCAAGTAGTTGACCAGAATCGAAGACGTGTTAAAGGTAATACACAGACTATGCCAGTATGACTGAGCCGATAAAATGATATATGTAGTATGTTATACTTGACCAGAAAAATATAAATTTTATTTATGAAATCAAATCATCACCAGTAATAGTTATCTTCATGTACTGAATGATGAATCTAACAGAAAACGTAATCAAATGATAAGATAAAATCGGTCGTATCACTTCACATCGTAAAAGATATCTAAAGAGAATGCAGAACAGTGTTCACATACACAGACCAAAAGGAGCTCCTATTTAACTGTGAAATATATACATTTAAGTCGTTAAGTACTCGACATATATATGTACATCCGAATATATATATTATACCAACGTAGAATATGGCATTAACGCGTTTTCAAGTGTTCTTTTAGCGATATCTTATCTATTTCACATTAGGTCACGGTTTGATGTCAGTAAAAGAATCCCTGAAAACAAGGCTGTATTGAACAGTTGTTTCATCCTAGCTTGCGATTCCTTGACAGTTCCCCACCGTGGATTGACACGTGGTACTTCCAGGTTATGAAGCCAGCTCATCAACCATTCAGTCATTGGGACAATTCTCTGTTTGAAAGTGAGTACATATATCCACTGAACAGTTCTTAATAACCTTATCAGTGCTTTAAACTGCTTTGATGCAACAAACTCCTTAGTCTTTCAAAAAAAATGTTCTATCGAATAACCAAATCTTATATAGAGTGAAAAAATAATTAACCGGGAACTGAATAACACCTCAGACGCCTATTAACTAGTGAATACGCCATAGGTGTGACTGTTAGTAAAACTGCTCTCAGAATAACTGAGAGACACAAGTAAATCCAACTTTGTTTCTTCTTGTTGGGATCATTTAAACTGAATATTTTTTATTTGGGAAGGTTAAGTGATTAGTCTTCACCTGCTACTAAAATAAAAACTCCTGTCTTTTCCTTTTATTTTCTCCGTTGTTGACGACTTCAACTTAGGGGTATCTTGATAATAATTCCTTTTTAACATTTTGAGAGATTAACTAAAACTTACGTGATTATTCTATATTGACAGTCCTTAACTGTCTAAAAATATTAATGTTTTGAGGGTACTACATATTTCCTTATTTCCAGAAGTGTTTAGAAGTTGAAATCCAGTTTTAGAGCAGATATCCTAACACAGCCGGATCAGATAAATAATAGGAAGTTGAATCATTTAGTCAACAGCAATCACTGACGCCCTTCGTAGAACAGGTAGCTCTTGGAACTCGGTAGTTCAGGGGATAGTACTCTGGTGTTAGGCCCGAGTGTCCACAGATGCATGTATATCTGAGACTAAATGCCCCTGCTAAATACATTTAGTAATCATCGTCTTTCAGATATCAAATTTCACTCTTATGATTCGAATTTTCATGTTCACTGCTGAATTACTTAACAATGAAACTATTACTTTTTAATTTTATTAGTTTAGGATAGTCGATAGTGTCATTGGTTCAGGGTTCGATTCCTGGCTGACGCACTCCTAAGCCTTCCTCAGCTGGCAGGAGGCTAGCAGTCTCACCTCTTCGCATACTTTGAGATTCACTGTTCACATTTTATTGAAGTTTTTGAAGGGGACTAGATATATGAAGCATCTGGTACATCATAGAGTAAACACAGTCGGGTCTATACAACTGGGTTTCATTATTATTTTGTAGTGTTAGTTGACAGTGACGTCCAATCAAAATAGTTTATCATGTTTACCTGAATAGTAGTCAATCAAATATTCAGTTCTTATAAAGAAATTTAAACTGTGTTACAAAGCAGAGAACAATGTGTTTCGATTTATTCTCTATATGAGGCGGAAATTTTCTCATGTGTAATTTCCATGTTTAATGAATTATGCTGTGAAAGCAGCAGGTGAATATCTACAAGGCATACAAGTTAACTTCAACCTTCTGATATACATGCACTTTGACTTCGACTTTTTGTAGTTCCGTCGAGAAGATATACTTAGAAGAGACGATTTAAACGACTGATTACAGTGGGTATTAGTGATTGCTGTATATGACTGGTTGATAGAAATTACACATTTTGGCATACTGGACTGTTACCGACATTAAGATCTTAATGTGTTCGGATGCATATTATCTTCACACACAAGTTCTACAGATTATTTTAGTAAATATTCATCATCCCACCTCATTTCATTCTTTTCAAATTTTAAAAATATTAAAAATATTTAGGTAAGCTATATTGAACAGATGCAAAGCAGATACAGTGTAAGAAAAAGGCATTCAAACTTATTAACAGATGTTTTCTTCCAACCGTTTTATTATTTTTCCGGTTTTTTCTGTCTATCTTCAAGCAGTGGCTTAATGGTATACCAGCTCGCCTTATAATCAGAAGGTCCTGGGTTCGAATCCCAGTGGATGCATACTGATGAAGATTTCCAAACTAGGACGAAACAGCTGTCCATTACTCCCAGTCAGTTTTCCAGTGGTTCTCTAACTAATATCAGCTTATGATGAAATCCTGAAACCAATCAAACCCCTACAAACCAACACTTGAATAACAATGAGATGCTCATTAGCGACTTGCCTTATTCAGGTAGGTAGTTACCTGGGTTTCTAGTAGGAACTCATGACCATTTGGGTGTAGCAGGTCAGGCGTGAGGACAAATACTTGCTGAAGACATTGGCTAGCGGTCGTGCTATGTCGTGAATTGGCAGAAGTTGGAGTTCATGTGCTGGCCATCGGATTGTGTTCCAGTGGCTTAATATTCTACAAGCTCGCTTTTAAACCAGAAGGTCCTGGGTTCGAGCCATGGTAGTGCGTGCGCACTGCTGAAGAGTCCCAAACTAGGCCGACAAAACAGCTGTACAGCATTCCAGGTTTTCCAATGGTTCTCTAACTAATGTCAGCTCATGATGAAATCCTGTAGTCATAAGTTTATTCCAGTGACGCTTTTATTTTCATCATTTCGCTTATTCATTATTCTGCTTCTCTTGTCTGTTGTCTGTGTTCATGTAGGCGGACTAATTTCCGACGAAATTTGTTTGGGTTACATTCAGACCTCCAGTAACTCGACTTATCTTCATCTAACACCTACTTCACAACGGATTACTCTCCGTTTCACTGGGAAGCTGTGGACTCTACTAAGTCCACTATGAAGACATTTACCTAGAGATGATATTAGATGACAGTGATTTTATTGCGAGAATTGACGGTATTTAGAAGTGAGCAATCACTGAACTTCAATTCCAGAAGGAGAATGTTGAATGTGTCACCCGAAAAGTTGTATTACTTGACTAGGACACGGGTATATTTGCACGTGTCAAAAGTAGTGTGACTTTGTTTCATTGACATGTACTCATTTGAATAGTAATCAGTGGGGAAGGAAAACGGAAGAAAATGAGCAAATAGATGACAACTCGATGTCCATCACTCATGTTATTTACAAATCTAATCACCGAACATAGGAAAACATGTTCGCAAACGTGTATGAAAGCAAATCCTAACGAATAACTTCTTGTCAAATGGAGATAATATAAATCCTTCTCCCTCCCTGTATAGGTATAACCATATGTCATTGTGTAGTGGGGAAAAGTAAACTCATATTTCATTAATCCTTGGATTAGAAATGAATTTATATTAGACAGCTTAAATAAACGCAAATAATTTCGATGAGGCAAAATACTGTTGTGAATAAAACTTTTAGATAATACTACATACTACTGATCAATAGATATGAGTAACTGGGTTCGTTGATGTAAAATATTAGTGACTGCCAATAAGCCAGATCAAAGTGATCTAAACAACGGACAGTTATTTCATCCGTTCGGGATCAACCACATCACCAACGTACCTAGTTTAATTCATCTCAGAGAGTTGAATCAGTTGAAGTCAATTGTTCCAGTTTCGAATTTGATTTAATGTATTTCCAGTCCACCAAAGTCACTAGCCAGAATTCGAGTGGTTTGAAATGATTCGGCTCACTGAGATAAGTTAAAAGCTGCTGATGAGCTCCACAGACAACAAGCGAAATAAGTCTTAAGTGTTTAAATCATCTTTATCTGGTTAAATAGAAAGCATTACTGTTCGATGTGAGCGGTATTCAACTACTCATATCCTTTGACCAGTAGTATATAGGATTATGCATTTATACACGCTTCAGATATTTTTTGATGTGAATTTCATTTTTTCTGCTTTCCTTTTTGGGGAATATAACTTTAAATATCCCCCTGAATAAATGAAAGGGGGGTAGAAATGTATTATTTAGGCAGAATACCGTTTCATCCCATAGGCTATTTTAGTTTTAATGCTGAAAAATTATGCATCTATAATGTTTTAGTACAAATTTCGTGATATTTTTAAGTCGTTTGTAATCTTTTACTTAGATTGGCTAGAAATTATTGAGCGAATAATTCATCCTGGTGCAATAGAGGAGAATTTTAGTTCAGTTGGATGCTTTTTGTGCTGTTGTGTCTGTTTGAGCTGGTTGGTTTAACTAGGAAACTTTCATCGTCATTCTAAGCAGAACATCTTTGGCGAGAGGTTCATTCTAAAGTTAGTGGTATCTCCTGACAGCCTTGGTTGTGATTAATTGTTGATTTGCAGGAGTACTGATCTTTATGCCATATTGATAGGTATTAAGTGGAAACAAATCTAAGTCAAGGGCATCCAGCCGTCTTCCTATCACCATGTAGCATAATGTGAAATCACAGCTATTCTGTTTTTCTCCACTATTCACATAGATGAATTAAGTTCGGTTGCATCTGAACGGTGTAGTTCGTGGTTCAATTGTAGAATGCTTGCTAGTTACTCTAAATGTCCGTGTTTCATTTCTGGCCGACTATCAGTACTGGGGTATATTAAAAAAAACCAGCCACAAAAAGTATTCTCAGGAGATACAATAATATCATTCATGGAGAATCCATATATATATATATATATATATATATATAGGTGAAGATGTTCTCAGGCAGGACGATGAAAGTTTCTCAGTTAAACTATTTACCTGAAAGAATACACTGAGATAAAAATTTTCCTAATGTGTAACTCTTCAACATTACAAAAGAAGGAACTTCGTAAAGAAGCTACACAGGTGATTAAAATGACTTCACTGTGATACCTGATGAGTAAAAATTCAGTTTAACGTATGATTCTATATGTGAACTAGACAATGATAGCAAACTGAGGCAGAAAACTTCCTATTTGTGGTGTCTCTTCATGGCGCAAATGACTCTGGAACAAATCGACTCCCCAGTAACCATTCGAATGAATAAAAGATAAATTTTTTTTCCTCTGTAAATTCTTTTCTCTCTCTTCGAGATTTTAATTTCGCAAGATGAATAATGTTTCCATAGGAAAAACAAAGATAATATATTCAAGGACTTCCAGAAGTCATTGCCATTATGAGTTTCAGACGAATTAAAACGTGTACCATTGGATACAAATGTCACTTTCACGCATTATCCTACCAAAACACATCGAACACTTAGAAAACTTTTATTGACACATTCATACTACTATTATGTATTTTAAGTAAGCAGAGAGAAATAGACAATTATCCATAATATTTTATTCACTGGTAATTAGCAGGTTCATCATTTTAGGTTTGTTTTTTTCAAAAAAATATTTTATTTGAAAGAAACTTACTTATCGTCTACTACTTTTTCTTTTGAATAGCGTCTCTTCAATCCCTCTAAATCCCCTAACAGTAGATTGTATGACCTAGTGGATGAAATAAATAGACAGAAAAGGAGTAGTATCATTTTGAATAATAAAAAGGTTTACAAATCCTATGATCTCATCTAGATGATTGGAAACATCCTACCTGATCTATTCAACACCAAGAAAACGGATTGGCAACTGAGATAAGATGGTTAGTGAAGTATTCGCTACTCACTGGTCTCAGTAATTACAACTAATATTGATTTTTAGCCAGGTATTTGAGACTAATACACAGGGTGGATTTTTTAATTCATTGTTTATAGAATTACCGAACATTATCAGTTGATCTGATCAATCTTTAACTATTCAGTCAGTCAGTAGTGTAGACTATGCTGGACTATACCAACATTACAGAGTATGCTATTAGTTATCAGGAAGTTAAACGGCAGCCGAAAATATTTATTTTACCGTCTGTAACTTTAGAAATGGTTGACACGCTTCCAAATCTCTAAAGCGTCATTAGTCCTCTAAAATTAACAGATCTGCCTTACTGAAAAGCAGTGACTAGGAGCACATCTAAGTCCAGAGCATTCTGTCGACTTCCTACAGTCAAACAGCCTAAAGTTGGCGCATAGATGAATTAAGTTCACTTGCAACAAAACAATGTTCGTCCGTGGTTGGTTCAATTGTTCGCCATGTTCGCCAGCTAGCCTGGAAACCGTGTTCGATTTCTCACCAAAAACCTTGTCCAGCCAGTTAGCTGATAGTAGGTGGGAAAAGAGAGAAGTTTAAACTTGAAGCTAGAGAACTCATCACGTAAAGGCAAATATCTTCGCCACTCAGATTTCATAGCTTGAAGACCCATATTCTATTTGGAACATTGGAGATGATATTCCTCAGCACCTAGTGCAGAATCCTACACCTTATCAAAAGTTACCGCTTTTTCCAAGATTTCGATTTATCTAGGAAATGTTCTATTTATCTTATCAAACTTAGATCTGATTTAGAAGTTCATACAGTAATCACATCAATCAATTTAAAATTAATCTGAAGCTTATCAACGACAATAGTCAATAGAAAACAGAAAACAGATGATAGTGAGCATTAGTCAAAAGTTAAAACTTACTCAAGATCTAGAGCAAGACAGGTCACTGCCCCATCACCAGCTGCAATAATATTGGCTGTACGTAAATTGTCACTGTATGCAAAAATACACACAAAAGCAATTAATTTCAATAAGGAACCTCATGAAGTGAATTATAGCATAAATTAATTTCCATTTTAAGAGTGGAAATAATCGATTTTTTGGTTGATTTATGAGATAACAACAGCAATAAAAACAACAATATTTATAAGGTCAAATCATTGAGTAAATCATTCATTGAGTACTGGGAAGAAAAACACATTTATTATTCCGATAAAAGCTAGCAGATCCTATATTTGTGAAATATTTAAGAATTAAAGGTCAACGAAATCGACTATTTCTTGAGATTTATGACTTTCCTGTTGGCCTATCAATTCGTTAACTCTTACATCCTGCCTATTATTCTCTATTGTTTCCCCTTAGTTTTTCCTGGCTACTGAGAAAAGACTGTACCTTACTACGTAAGATGTTATAGGTTGTCAGCAGGGTAAGCAACGTGCCACTTTAAGAGCTTGATAATATTCTGGTCGACAGGCACTTGGACTCATGCGAAAAATGGCCTAAATTCATTCTATCTATCTAACTCAGACCACCCTCTTCATTCACAACTCTCCTCTTGTATCTCATCAGACAGAACCAGAAGCCTATACAGAAAACTATATGCTCGAACTAGTAAGCACAAAAACTCAACCATACCCTACTTGGCTCGTGTTCTGTGCGATATAGAAAGCATTAGGCGTGATACCTATAACTTAGCAAATAGTCAGTAGAACAATTGGATCTCGTCTTTCTAACTCATATCATTTACAGGTAGAACGTTTTCTTTCCTTCTCTTTTTTGTTATGTGCTGCTTTGTTTCTCCCTTCCTTACAAACTCTACTTAAAACATTCTCTTTTTTTTCACACTCTGTATATCTCGAACTTTTTGATACCGCTTAGACCAGTAAGTATGTCAGCATCTACTTTTCTAACACCTTCAAACATTCTGTTCACTTTTCGCTTTGCTGCCGATTTGCTAGTATGCTGTTGTCAAAATTAACTGTGACTACCCATAATCTATGTAGAATTTTATTTATTGTTAATGTACAAACTGGATGCGAAATAATGTAGTGAAATGCTGAGAATTCCATTCTGTATCACAAGTACTGTTTTGTAATAAAGCAAATTATTATTATTTTTTTTGTTTTCCTGCACGTTCCCAGTGGAACATAGGGCTTCAAGCTAGATGCTTGAAGTTTCTGTAGCAGTGGTGATGTCTTTTTACAGGATGGGGTTGCTAGCCTCATGCCAAACCTTTCCTCTTCACCAATTTCACTACTGGCTTAGAGAGGTAAAGGAGTGCGCCGGCCGGGGATCGAACCCGGACCATGTGCATGGTCGGCGAGCGTTCTAACCACTATGCCACCGACGCACACATTGTAATACTTAACCATATGATATATATAGAGAGGGATCAATATGAAATAAGTGCGTCAGTGGAATAGCGGGTATTACTATTATTAAAATGTGAACGCTGCATTGGACCCTTCAGGTTAATCAGAAAACAATAGCGTCATGCTGAACTTGTGGGGGGGGGCGCCAAATTCAAGAGTTTCAGACGATAACGAATGGGGCTCATTTTTAAAGGGGTCAAGTAGTCAGATAATCTCTGCGTTGATGATTCAGCGGTAGAATGCCAGCCAAGCATGCAAGTAGTCTGGGGTTAGATTACCAGCCTGCGCACGCCTTCACCACCCCTGGTCAGTTGTAAACTCGAGAAAAGGAGACGGTTGGGTGTTCGTCTAGTAACTCCATCCTATCAGTGCTACTGAAACTTCAGAGCTCAAGCTTGAAGCCAACCTAAGTTCCACTCCGCACTCAAAGAAATCAAATAATAATAATAACAAAAGAAATAAGTTGAATAGTCTAGTGACCAATGCTTTGGTGGGTGTTGAGACTCAGTCAGAACACTATCACACTGTGAGACGCATAAAAACTCTGGTTCCACTGCCAGCCATCAGTTAGAATTACATATTCATTCCCTACATTAGAGGAAGTGATGGTAATCTCGACTGAGTGGAAGACAGTAAGTTAACCAATACAGCAAATAAGGGCTATTGTCTTTGCCATTCAACTCTACTTATTCTGTTACGTAATCAGTCGGTTCATTTTAGTGTTTGCATTGGTTTGCATTGGCGATTTGCAATTTACACAACTAAAGGTAAATAAATGGGGAAATTACGAATTTGACCTGATATATTACTAGTTCGCTAAAAGTACTTAGCCAACCAGAATTCAGGCGATACGACATGAATTTCGGATGTTTAAATCACTTGAATTTAGATAGCAATTACTAGTACTTATTGATATGAATGGTATTCAACTACTTATATCAGTCAAATCAGTAGTATGTGGCATCTGTTATTTTGAACGAAAAACCATAAAGTAAAGTATTGATTTCTAACTTAATTAATCCGTAATGACTATAATCAACTTCGATTGAATAATCTTAACACAATAAAATGCTTGTGAATACTACACGCATAGTTTATAGTATCACATACTGAGTTATTACACATAAGGATGTGTGTGTGATTTGATCGTGGGAAATTTTCATAACAGTAATGCTTATAAATATTTGAAAATAAGTCAGTAATAACAGGTGTTACACATTCCTTTTGTATCTCGTGGGGTTTATCATAGATTATAGTTTATTTTCAATCTGAAGGTCAGTATTTTTTATTTCATATAGGTGTAGTATTCACGTATTATAAGAATTGAGCTCTTGTCTGTAGTGTTTATAACAACCACACGTTTAGAAGCGATGTACTCAAGTTATTATAGAATCATTTATTTAGGAGGTTATGGTTTTATAGGGATTTTGTTTGAGTCAGTTTTCAAAAGAATGGCTACTGAACAAAGAATACTATTTTCGATAACCTGCTCTTCATCAGGTTCGACAGTTATATATACATACATAATAGTGAATGAATGAATTAGTGCTATGAACAACACTAATGTTGTGTAAATAACATCGAATCAATAACAATAATATCGGTGGATTACAGTTCGATAGTATCAACATAACAATGCATACGGAATATCAGAAAAATTGAGAAAGATAATAATACGGAATTTACGAATTTATGGTCTTCACTGAAGGCTGGCCAGGACAGTAGTAGGAGCGGCTAGCTGAACTTGCTTCTTTAGCACTTTCTCTTGGATTTAACTTTCACATCCCAAATAAGTTTGTCGAAAGAACTGATGTCGCAGTTCAATTCGAAAACTTATTCTATCAGTTGAGTGACCTCACTCCAGTTGATGATGACAAGAGGAGCTGGTTCAAATCGAAGCTCGTCGACGTTGCAAATCAATACCTCATTTCTCCAACGTCATATTCCAAAGTCCTTTCTGAAGAGCATCTAAGAGCATTGAAAGCTCTCAAGAATAATGACAAAATTGTTATATTGAGACCTGACAAAGGCTCAGGTGTGGTGCTGATGGACAAAGAGGACTACATCGCAAAGATGAAAGCTGTGTTAAATGACCCGTTGAGGTTTAAAGTTGACAGTTGCCAGAAAGATAAGACAGATGCCGTCGAAAAACGTATCACAAACGCCTTGAGAGATCTCCTAAAGAAGAAATTGATTGACAACAACACGTACAATGACTTGAAACCCCGAGGGTCCCGCTTGCCACACATGTATGGCGTTCCGAAGATACACAAAGAACAAGTCCCCCTGAGACCCATACTTTCGATGATCAACTCGCCCCAACATAAGGTGGCACGTTGGCTTGCGGAGAAGTTGGAACCTATTCGTCAACGGCTAGGCGTGCACACGGTGAAAGACTCATTTCATTTCTCTGAAAGTGTGAACCACATGAACGTTCTAAATAAATTCATGGTGTCATTTGATGTAACCTCCCTATTCACAATGATTCCAATCAATGAAACTATTGAGATCATTTGTCAGCAGTCCGATCTTCTCCCACTCCCAGAATCGGAATTCAAACGCCTACTGCTTATGTGTACCATGGATGTGCAATTCCAATTTGACAACACATTTTACCGCCAAATAGATGGTGTAGCTATGGGCAGTCCACTTAGCCCTGTTCTAGCAGATATATTCATGTCAAACCTTGAAAGAACAAAGTTGAAACATGCAATCGACGAAACATCTTCCTACTGTCGTTATGTTGATGACACATTTATAGTGTGCGAAAATGAAAGCCATGCTTCACACTTACTAAGATTATTCAATGGTGCACACGCCAATATTGATTTCACTATGGAACATGAAAGTGACGGAAAGTTTCACTTCCTCGACATCGCCATGGAACGCCTAGAAGACGGTAGTCTTCAAAAGTCAATTTATCGAAAGCCCACATGGAAAGGACAATACTTGCATTTTAACAGCTTTTGTCCAAATAGCTTTAAACGGGGTCTAGTCAAGACTCTGTACTATAGAGCGAGGAGAATATGCTCTATAGAGAAACTAGAGGAGGAGTTTGAGTTCCTTGAAAAGATATTGAAGAGAAATGGGTATCCTCAAAAGTTCATCAACAAGTATGGAAGATCTGAAGTCACAAATGTAAAACAAATCACAGTGGGTAAAAAGCCAGTCTACGTTCAGCTTGACTATAAAGGTGAAAACATTGCAGCGATGATCAACAGAAGGCTGAGTACATCACTAGCCATAGCCTATCCTGCAGCCAAGCTCGTTCCCATCTATCGAACAACTTGCTCTTTGGTGCAATCAAAAATCGATAGATATCCTTCTCATGTTACCTCCAACTGTATATACAAATTTACGTGTATCTGCGGGAGCAGTTACATTGGAAGAACAGAAAGAAGGGCATATCTACGATTTTCTGAACACGTACCAAAAAGCTTACGTCTAAAGGGAACAAATGCTTTAAACAGTGCCATCGCCAGGCATCTCCTCGACACGGGTCATGAGGTGGACGTCGAAAAGTCGTTCAAAATTATCAATAGGCAAAAGAGCTCAATTCTCCTTAAGTTTGCTGAAGCGATTTCTATCAAACGCTTGAAACCAGATCTATGTGTTCAGAAAGAAGCAGTTATTAGTCTTTCCTTGCCTTGGTAACTGGATGCCTTTTTTTCTCTCATCTGATTACGTAATCTTTGTCTTTAACCTCACCCTCCCTTTTATAATCTGTAATTTTGCTTGTCTCTTGTTTCTATGATTTGAGCTCAACTCAGTTCATTGTTACCTAACTTACTAGTCACTATGCATCTAACGCACATCTCATCTTTATTACGTAACTCTTTACCATTTTCTGCATACATTTATTTTGTTTTAACTTGAACTGCCTGTGTGAAAACTATATAAGCGCAATTTCTGAGCACTGTTTACTAATTGTGGAATTTTCTGTCAACTGACAACATGTAAAATTTGCAAGTATGTTAAAACATGTCTGTACTTAAACCTCATAATTTATTTAGGCTGTAAGCAGCTGATGAGAAGCGAACGAAATAAATGATGGTACCATATTATTCTGCTAAAACTGTAGTTCTTGCTTTGTTCAAAAACACTGATTGTTTCACGCGAATTGCAATAGCCTCTGCTGTTTGGAGCATGCGGGCTTAGATGATTTTGGCAACTTATTTGGTACTCGGTAGACGGTAGAGAAGGATTCTTCAATGCTGGCTGGCTTTGTGGCCGGTTTGTACTAGATGGTCCAATATCGAACTGTTGATGGTATTTACTACATCTTTACTTGGCCATACTGAGAGATGTTCTCGAGCACAAGAAATTCAGTTCGTAGGTTGACGGCCAATATAACTTGCTCCCAAGCGCAGTTAAATTGGTAGATACAATTTGAAGTGGCTAGTCTAGGTACTTCACCTTTCAGTCGAGGAATCCCTATCGGTCGTGTAGAGAATTAGACGTGTAGTTTGACAGTATCAAAAGTTCTTTGAAGGGATTTTCTTAACCTCCTCGTAATTATTTCGCTTGGTATATCACCACTGAATTGCAGTCGTATGTATAAAGGCTTCTTGTTTACGGAGAGTGAGTAGTCCTTTTCCGCTTTCTTTGTCATGTGTTTCTTGATAAATTTGTTGGAATAGCTTTTTCAACCAATCTACATCGAGGTACCGCATGTTTTAAACAGCAGAGGCTATCACAATTCGCGTGAAACAAACAGTGCTTTGTGTGCAAAAGAAGCAAGCCAGCCAGCCACTACTACTGCCCTGGCTGGCCTTCAGTAGAGACGATGATGAAGACCTGATGAAGAGCAAGTTATCGGAAATAGTATTCTTTGTTCAGTTACCATTCTTTTAAAATATTTTTTTGATGCAGACTAGTGAACTGAGCCTTACTCAGCGAAACAAGACACAAAACTATCAGCCAGTACTTAGGTTTCTAATTTAGTCAGTCAATCGATCTTTCGACACTTTAAACAACTACTAAGACAAAAGACACCAGACAGCTTTGTTCTATGTTGTTGATCAAAGCAGCAAATAGTTATTTGACTGTACTACATAAAGTATGTTTGGACTAAGAGTCAAGCTACCAGAAGGCGTAAACTGGACTGTTGTACCGAAAACTCTATACTAAAGTATTAACAGTTTTTCACTGAACAGTACAGAGTTAATCGATAGTCAGCAGCGACACCCAGAATGAGCGTTCCTTTCAATTTAGAAGTCTTGATTTTCCCGTAGGTTAGTGAGTTATGAGATTGTGAACTTGAGGATAGTTATTACAAAAGAACTTGATGATGAGAACTTTCATTATCTCAATACTAAAGATCGGGTGACTGGTCGGCAAGGACAGGAAACAAGAAACTGTATCTGGTGGCAAAGCAACCAAGAAACTATTGCTGAACAAATACTCAGAAGAAATTAGAGATGGGCTGGACACACGCTGAGAAGATCATTGAATGACATTACAAGCCAAACCCTAGCATAGAACACGAATGGGAAACGATCAGCTGGACGTGTGGATACTTAGCTGATGTAGAGAAGATCGTGTAAGCAGGCGTTGAAAGCTTGTAGACAATCGTGAAACGCCGACTGAAAGAGACTGCCGAGAACAGAGTGAAGTGGATATGTGTTACTGAAGCTTTTTATCCCTTGGAACCAAATGAAGTAATAATAAAATTATGCAGAAGGTGACGCCTACATTAAATAAATAATTTTTCTTTTATTTGTAACTCATAATGATCAGTAGGTTTATATAAATATTTTTTATACGTCAGTTTATAAACATTAGAAATTTCCGTTCTACTCTAGGGTTAACTATTTAACTGCAGTTAAAGTTATTTCGATTGGTGGTTACTGGCAGTCAAACTCAGGAAGCGCATCCGATTTTACTCAGGACTCATCAGTGGGATTCCCTTGCACTACAGGTGACTGATGGGGTTCCAACCAAGAGAGCCAGCTCCTCACCAACAGATTCAAGAGCTAAGGCTTTTTCCAATAGACTACTAGAGCCCAATCGGCTGATTTGTATTGGTATGCTCGATTGTACAGCTAGTAACTATGACCCAAAATGACTCATTAATCTTTAGATCTCGTTGAAACGTTCATTTCAACAAAGACCGACCGTTTCAGTACTGGCTAATTAATATATCAATCAACGGAAAGTGCCAATTAACCTAAATGAAAGTTACAGTTGAAATTTGTTCCGTCATAAAAACAGAAATTGATAAGTTATATGGCGAAGTATTTGCGATTTGAAGTCCAATCCTATCACCAATTGACATTATTTGGAGAAACATGGGAAACCAGAGAGAATTCGAGATTCATTTCAGCCTAGTTTGGGACTCTTCAGTAGGATGAGCACATTATTTCCAACCAGTAATAAAGATGCATGACCTTTAGGCTACGAGACTAGCGTACTACCACTCAACTATTGGGATCAAATCCAACGGCTTACAAGTTATAATTTTTGGTAATTCGTTATTTATTTGCCTAAATGCTAGACGCTAAACTTCTAACTTATATATATATATATATATATATATATATATATATGAGTACCACTCTGCATGTAGGCGTTTACGCCATCAAACAGTACAACCAGCCTCCCTCTTGATAGTTGTGGCCTGCTTTTGAAGCGAATGAGTATGATCACCTGATTATACAACTTTTGTAACAGTCTCCATATTGTATATTGTAACATTTTTAAACGAGAATTACTTCATTAATAATAATAATAAGTACATTTTATAACAGAACACTGTTTATTAAATGAACATTACCCAGCTAATGCTTTCTCTCCAAACCATTCACCTCTACCTAGTGTACGAACAAATTGTGGTTCATTTGATCGATCAATTGTACCATTTTCCAATGTTGGATACATTGTCACTTTTACATGACCATCAGCTATAATATAGAAATTATCGCCTCGAGCACCTTGACGTATAATAAATTCATTTGGACGATAAGTTATTTCATTCAACTGATCAGCTAATTTTGATATTGTACCATCTGGTAGACCACTGAATATTGGGACACTAAACAAACAAAAATGATTGAAAAAAAAGAAATAAAATAATAATTATTTTTCTTAACTTAATTTTCGAATTTACTGTTGATTGGTTTTATTGAATGGAAATGTTCAGTATCTAGCGATATGTTAGCCTGGTGGACGGTGCTTTGATGTTTGAAACGACGGGCTCTGAGTTCGAATCTCAGTGGGAACACAACCACTCACTGGAGATTGAAGGTTCATGCGGATGACGAGCCCTAAAGGGGCAGAAATCCGCATCCTGGATTCCACTGTTAGTCTCTATCCAACAGAATAAACTTGCCTCCATTTGTACCACTGAGGGCAAGAGATTATTTCGGGAATAATATCCAACCTGAGCTGGAAAGACGTAGTGGTTATCCACGGTATAGTAATCATGATAAAATGAAAGAAACTCAAGTGTACCACTCCAAGTTGATTTATTTCCTTATTTGATAAGACCTACGATATTACAGCGTTACTTAATGGTTGATGTTTCAAGTCCAATTATTCTTAAATGTCTTATTTTACAAATATCAGGTGTCACATCGGTCAGGTAGGTTTTCAAAATAAAACTAGGTTTGTGGCGATGTTTCACTCTCTTAACTTATTTAAGCAGCAGCTGTGCGGGTTGAAAATTCTTTTTACCTACAATCAGGCAAAACAAGGAAGGACCTGAAGAAGACCCCTTTTTCTTAATTATCCAGCTCTTAAGGAGTACCAGCTGATTAATCCAGACATCAGTTCACCAAAAAGGAAAATGGTATGGGTAGCTGACTGACTTCTACACACCCTTGTTCCAATAATTGGAGGAAGAAACCTCCCGAAATATCTTCTTCCAAGAATCTGTCTCATATACATAGAAGAAAAAGCATTGAATACAGAACTGAGGTCTTTCTGAATCAATTGGATTCCGAATTGTTATCCACCCGCATTCATTAGTAAACTTAGGAAAAGTAAGACTGATAAACTAGAGACGACAGAATTACTGGAGAGGAAGTCGCTTCCAAGCCTGAGATTCAAGGTGACTCAACAGCTGAAGTTCTTCGAATTTGACTATTGAAAGCTGTTTAGGGAAACACTCTTTGCTGCTTCTATATGTTTGACCTATTCCGTGTAACCTCTTTTTCATTGAAATATCAAAGACAGAGTTCCACCACTGGGAATATGTATGTGCATATGTCTGTCCTCTTGTGCTAGAGCAGCTAAGCACATAGGCCATACCCGTGTAGTAATGTCTATACGTGTGGAAAAGCATCTTCCAATCTGGTTGGCGAAATGGAGGAATTAGAACAACTAATAACTCACTTCTTGAGCATCTTGTGTAACGGAATAACTGTTTGGAAAATCTTTCTTGAACTATCTAATCACAATATTTTATACTTATTTGGATGTTTAAGCTAACTTTTAATTATTTTCCGTTTTTCTGCTAGACTGTATATCATTGAATTTATTTGGTGGATGGTAAATAGTAGTGGATACAAGGATGTGCATTTCGTCCCACTTGGGACTCGTCAACTAGAAGCACCTGCATTCTCCAGTGAGTGATGGTGTTCCCACTGAGATTCGAACCCACTGTCCATAGTTTCAAACTATAAGGCGTTACCCACTGGACCAATTAGGCCACGACTACCGTCTCTGCTAGTCACTACCCACCAATTAACTTCAGGTTACATGACCAGACGTCGTCGAAGCATTCACACAAGGAGCTGACGTCTCATCCTGAAACCGAGCACTTAGGTACAGTCAATCCAAGGGAAAATCTAAAAATTGAATTAAATGCATATCATTGTTCTGATATTTGCATATCACATGTTGACTTGATCCTCATTGTTTGTGTTTGTTCCTATCTAATCTCTAATCTTATCGTATCCCTCCTTGTGGTTGTACGATAAACTGATAGTGAATTGTCCCACAACGTTTGAGGTGATTCTGACTTTAGACTGTCTACGCGAGTTGTTGGTGTGTGATACTTCTGGATAAAGTTTTGATCTTACCTTCTTGAGAATATTCAGCTTAATTTCTGAATTTTTGTGGAATTTCCCTAATTTTAGTTGATATTCTATTCGCTATTATATCTTTATTATTATTATAATTTAAGCATCTTTAATGGACTGTAATTGCATTGATCATACTTTACAAATCGATATTATTTATTATTCTTATTATAATTGTTCCCTTGGGTTCCTAGTGGAACATAGGGCTTCAACTGCACGTCTACACTTGAATCCGTCTTCTGCTGTACTTTTCACCTGCATCCATCTTAGTCCATACTCTTTCAACTCCTCTTCACACGATCTCCTCCATCTCACACTTGCACTGACATCCCACTCGCCGCTTCCACTTCCGCCTGGTTCCACTCGAGCAATGGCCTGACGCGCGCGCGATGTCACCCAGCGGCCTGCTCAGCAAGTGAGTGTCCAATCCATCTCCACTTTCTCCTGCATATTTGTTGGCTGGCGATTGGTTCTTGTTTTGTTTCTTCCCATAGTTTCTTGCTGGCGATTATTTCCGGCCCGGCCATCTGAGTGATCTTCAGTATTGATAAAGGTAGCGTCTGCAACAGGCTGTTGGAAATATTCTTTGCGACCCGTCAGCCAAGTTTCTCATCCGTATAGAAGAACTGACTGACTTGATGTTGTTTGTATTGAAAATCCGACTGAATTTTGTTGTTGATGCTGGCTGAGTGACGAAGAATTCCAGATTGGTTTCAGGTTGATGAATGAATGTGTTTCTCGCCTTCCCGATTCTCGCTCGATTTGACATCGTCGCCCTCCTGTAGTTGAGACAATGCTCCCTAGATAAGTGAGTGAATGAAAAAACCTCTTTCAAATCCCTCTCGTTGATGGTGATTGGCACTGGATGTTGCTGTTGTTGGTTGGTTGGTTATTTTCAAAACCTCCGTCTTGTCTATGTTCACCTGGAGTCCTGTGTTTTCCGCGGCTGCTTCTTCAACCAGTTTGTTGGCTTTCGCTTGTAAGTCTTCGATTTTGTGTGACATCAAACATAAATCATCCACGCGCGAAATCCAGGTTCTTCACGTCAGTCCAGGATATCCCTGTCTTCTCGTTTCCGACTCACTGTGTAACGCATAATCCAGTCCACCACAATTAGGAATATCATCGTGGGTGATAATAAGCACCCTTGTCTGACTCCTGTGTTTACTTCAAACGCCTCGCTGAGTTTTTCGTTGTGGACTACTTGACATGTGACGATGTCGTACAGCTGTTGAATAAGGTTGATGAATATTTGGGGTACGCCTTAGTACTCGAGTAGTTTCCAAATTACTTCGCGGTCAACGTTGTGGAAGGCCTTCTCTAAGTCTATAAAGTTGAGATAGAGATTCGATTGCCATTCCACTAATATTGTTATTAACTACTAATCTAGAATATTCTGTGTATATATATATATATATATATATATATATAATTCTAGAGACGGAAAAGGGATTTATCGAAAAGAATATTCTTCGCTCGATTGTTTTGTGTTTTATAGATGTCTCAATGAACATTTTTGCTATAATTCTAATGTATTTGTTTTATAATTAGAGAGTTAACATGTTTGTAAAGCTGCTTAACATAGATCTGACGACGAACAGACGTCTTTCCGCTGTCTTTGGGGGTGTGATGTTTACTCTAAGTGTCTCAAGGAGGTACTTTCAGTTATAGAGTAGGCCATAGAGGTCAGTTACCTGCGTCCAGAACACAACGAGTCGGTTTCGTTCGTCACATAACTGAGTATTTTGACAAAAAAATTGTACTGGAAACGTTTCCCAACAAATAATACCCTATCATCTTTAAGCTTTACCAAATATACAAAAAATACAGAGTTATGCTCCGTCTGACCGTTCAAGTTTTGGTACTATGGCAAGAAAGAATGTTTCTAAGATAATATGATTACTCTTTATTGTATATTGAATAAATTTGGCGGTATTACAAGCTTTGAGATATTAGATTTATATTACCAAAGACTATAATCAAATTCTGACAAGAAAGATAACGTCATGAGGTAGATTCAAATTTATAAGTTTACAGTGATAGTTGAAGAGTTTTAGACACAGTTAGCATCAAATTTATGATTTTAATGCTTTTGTTTGTATCCAGTGACACTGCCTTTAAAAGAACAGCTTATTCTTCTGCATGAAAATGATTCTTCTATTGAGAATTTAGAAAACATAAATTTTTGGTTGTTAAAAGGGTGCTTGAAACATCCAGAAAATCTTGATTCGCAAAATATATAAGTAATACATAGCGTGTATTTGTGAGACGTCTTCTGCAAAGTGTTTGAGTAGAATTCTCGCAAAGAGGAGTAATGGGGACAATTGTGAAGCAACAAAAAGAAAGCATGATGCAATAAAGACAAATAGGTTTTACAAAGCGAAATTTCAACGTGAGTTTTTTAAAATATATTTCACCGAATAAACAATACTACTGTCAAATATCCCTGTATTCTGCCGTTACCAAGGCAACCGTTTGCTTTAAACAAACATATCATTGAAACTGTGATTGATATGCTTTCTTTTTTAGTCAAAATAATATAAACTAACCTTCTAAGAAATGTTGTATAATCATTACGCTTTTGTAAATGATTCCTCATCAGAATAGTTTGAAAGGACGCTCTGTCGATTGCCCAGAGTGTTCCATTCGTAAGAGCTGAATAGAAAATTGTAAAAGAGCAATAAAAAGTACAAAATGTTACTTTTAAGAGCTAAAATTGAAATTACGTGGGAGATTTCGTACGGAATTCATATTGATAAAAAAGGAGACAACTAATGTCAGCTCTGAGGGTAGTGTTCACTAGTCGCCCACTGGGCTGAAGAAAGCCAAAGATCAAGAGTTAACATGTGACCACTTTTCTGTAAGTATATCATTTCTTCTGTTGCTGTGGAGTCAGGTATGTTGGTCGGTCGACGCGGATCTTGTCTGAAATGGTAGCAGCAGCCCTAAAAGGGGTGCGATAATTGAGAATCTTGTAGATACTGGTCACTTTATCTCAACAATAACTCCTCCTTCAAGGTAATTTATAAGATGAAAAGTAACCTTCCTATGACAATCGGCTTTTGTTCCCTGAACACTGCTGAAGCTCTCCCTTTCCAGATGGGGAAAGAGGAGTTGTGCATACCAAAGGCAGTCTTTCATCCACTCCTATTATCATGGTAAAAGGTCACATTATTTTCAACCTAACCACTTTATCTGTTTTATTTTTCTGACCTTTTCTGGCTATTCTTTCCTCCCATACTCTTATGTAACATAAGATTTCCTTTGTTTCTATGTTCGCAGCAGTTGCAACTCAGTTATAAAATGATTTATTTGATTACGTAATTCTATAACTCTTATTCAGCTTCTCGTATGTATTGATTAATATAAGCAACTATGTTTACGGCGTCCCTTCCTCACAATCCACTCTCACATGAAACATTTTATGCAAATGCTATTGTACAGCTAAAGAAAATAAATTCGTCAAAAAAAGACTTTTCACTGAACTGTTTGTCTTGTTTTTATTAATGTCCTCACAAGAATTCATATTGACTAGGCAACGTCTAAAAGCTAGGAGCAACCGGATGACTGTTTTAACCTATTTTGGGACATTTTACCAAAATAGGACCACAACTCCACTTGAGAATGACCTCAGAACCTTTGAGATATAAGGGAATCGTGTTCCCGTCTTAGCCTCTAGATTATTTCAGTTGCTTATGAAATTCTTGAATTTCCCTAACACTAACTCCTCTACTTAGATATAAATCTTTTTATAGACATAATGATTAGAGTTCTTTCTGTTCGTCGCATATTTTTTGTCTCAAACTAGATACTGGGATTAGTAAATCTGCGTAAATGACTTCCTCAGCTTTGGATTCTAATAGTTTTTGTTCATTAATAATTAATCTTACCTATCCTTTCACCCTTATATTTCCTGATACTATTGGTTTTTCCGTCGATGTTATAATACACCGGTTAGTTCCAAGGAGACACGTGGAAGTAATATAAGTAAGTAGTTCTGTAGAAACTTTGACTTTATTTTCTTGTCACTTATTTTATTTCGATGAGCTAAGGTTTTGTAATCTACTAGGGAATTAATTTTGTCAGTCTTCGTGTTTAGAAGATAATTATAGTAGTCTGTATTCCAACTAATAATTAAAGTGTGAAGTTATATATAACAAAAAGCCGAACTACGACTAGCCTTCTCCAAGAAACATATGATTCGTGTGAAGGTGAGGGATAAGCTACCACTGCTAGCCTCATCAATGTGTGTCTATCAATTCACCTGCTCGTGTGGAGCCAGGTATATCAGCCGTACCCAGCGTTCGCTTTCCAAACGTATCACCGAACACTTACTAACATGGTTTTGCAAAGGAGAAAAACAAGGCCCTACAGCTCTATCTTAGAACAACTGATAGATTCCAGACACCAGGCTACACTCCAAACAAACTTCAGAGTCATCTACAGAATACGAAACAGCCTTTCTACAGGTGTACGAATCAGACTTCTTCAAACTGTAGAAGCAATGGCGATTCACTTGCTAAGTCCTGAACTCTGGATGCAGAAGAAGTTCATTTAATCACTACACTTGCAATGGTCTTAATCTAACTTGATACCCGACAGGTAATTTCTACTTAATTTTTTCTCTTCTGTCTCTTCATTAGTATTATTTTGTCTTTTCAATTGTAAAATTTTTATTTTCAACGTTCTGGTTCTCTACCCTCACGCGATTCAATTTCCTCACCCATTACCACTGTTACTGACTTGACCAACGCTCAGTTTATAGTCATTTATATTACGTCACCCAACTTATTTGCTCAATTTTAATTCTAATCTAAATGGCATTATTCTTTACCCCACCCCCACTTAGTCTCTATCTGTAATTACCTCTGTTGGTACGCTGACCTAAGCTGAAACATTTTAGTCAATTTTATTGCGTCATCTAACTTACCAACTCAATCTTACTTTTTTTGCGGTCTAATTAATCTTGTTTCTGTATTAGATAATTCTTGTATTACCTGATTAATTATCTAAACTTGATACACCTCATGTACACACACAAAAAATTACTCTATGTAAATGAGATTGTACAGCTATTTGAATGAATTCACCGAAAGAGTCTCTTTGCTGAACGCATTCTCTTTTTCATATGACTCAATGGGGATTTTTAAGCTACTTAAATGATAATTTGTAAAATGATTTTGATATCTCAATAAATTTAATTATTCTTACTCGTTGAATGCTATTTTTAGGTGATGGTTTCTCGGGATCCAAATCCCTGGTTAGATCACTAGCTGACATCAGCTATAGAATCACTGAAGTTGTAACCAGTGGCGTCCACTAGGTGAGATGTGACGACAAAGATTCACTGGTGACATTTATCTGGAGGTGGGGCAGTGTATCACGAAATGATAGAATTTAAGATTCCGTTCCAATGCGTTTGTCTCGTAGTCTTAAGGTACTGCGCTCGATTCCTGGCAGGTTTATAAGCCGTTACTGATGAAAAGTCACTCCCCAACTAGGACAAAACAATCATCTAATATTCGTTGGTTTTCATTGCTTCTCTAACTGATTTCGGCTTGTAATCTATCCTGAATGTTATCTGTAATACACCTTGATCAGCATCAACTTGAAGAAACCAAACTTATGTGTTCAGAAGAAGTTCACAAAGACACTTTCCTTTCCTCCACCTACATTAACTGAGCACGAAAAGATGTGATAATTTCCCCTCCTCTAACAAAGACTTTTAAAAGTTATTAGTTTTGCTTCAACTATCCTTAATTGTTGCGTTAACTGCTTTCCTTAACATTATCTGATATTCAGTTTGGTATTAAGCTTTTTATGGATTTTAGCATTTACAAACATTTTTGAACTACATTTCTATTGATCTTAGAAACTCGATATTACTACACTAATTATGAAAACTGTCTTCTGCATGCTTTTGTGCTTGCATTCATTCTTGCTGTATATTATATTTGTTCAAGGTTAGGAGAATGTGATGTATACTGAGTGATATTTATTCCAAAATAATTTAGAAGTCAAGTGATGACATGCAAAGATGTCGACCCCTATTTTCATTCACAGTCACGGAATAATTTTGGAAATGTAGACCACTGCACAAAAGAGTGTCAGTAGAAACTACCCTACTTCAAACTACACGTAAGAAAAGATGAAAGTACAATAGACAAAGAGGTAAAGGAGAGAGAAATAGAGGGCTGTAGTATTTAGATAAAGGTCACTGGTGACTTTTAGTATCCCAATGATCACAAGAATTGAATACATATTCGCCATCACAAACGATTTCGTGTCATTTCATCAACAACCATCAACCAGGTAGTCTACACATCAATCCGTTATTCATACAAATAGTCAAAGACCACTCCTAACTTTTACTCCACTGAAACTAAAACATTACTTTTACAGTAAGGTGATTCCTAATTGATCCAGCTTCATAAATCCATCGATTGACTATCCACTCACTATGTCTTGACCGCATCGCTCTACCTAGCAGAAAGAAGCTAAAGTGAATCACTCCTTTTCAAGAGTTAGTTTGCAGGGATTTGATCTGTTTCAAGTTTGACCACTGACTGATATCAGTTAAAGCACCATCAAAAACTCCAGGGTAGTACTGAACATCCAGTTGTTTCGTCCTAGTTTGGGTCCATCCCGTCGGAAGTGAAGACAAATACTCGCGAGTAACACTAGCTGATGGTTATTCTAAAATCATGAACTGGTAGGAGTTACAATTCATAAGCTATTCACTGAGTCAGGTCCCAGTAATTGAATGGGTTACGACTTTGACATGTAACTGGAAGGTCCTGAGTTAGAACCCACGTGTTAGGTATGTGTAGTCCTCAAAAATAAACTTATCCAATTTTTACTACTATGTAAGAAATGAACATATTGTACATTACTTTGTTTTAATCATAATCTCCGTACTTTGTACTTCGGGTTTTGAATGAAAATATATTTCTGCCTTCAGCTCTCCGCCTTCTCCACCATCTCAACTGCTGTCGATCAATTCTAACCACCTGCTTTCTATCTCAAATTTTCGCAGAAGCACCGTAGTTTCTCCCTACGTACTTTGGTCGACCTTCTGCAACATCAACATTAGAGAATTAGTATTGGAGCAGTCTTCCCGCAATACCTCTGGAGTCTATTACGTTAACTGTGGATTTTGAACCTTGTAAATACCCGAGTAACAAAACCTTAATATATTCTTCCAGTAACTTAACTGATTTGGTATTTTATTTTCGGTTTGAATTTGGGATACTAAGCTAACAGAGTCTAAGGTCCACTACAGGTATGTCAAAACAGCTATCCAGTACCAACTCCCTGGTTCCCAGAAGTTCTTCTTTAACCGATATCAGGTCATGGTCAAGCTTGAAACACTTCTGGTCAAATGTAGCTAACTGTTTCATATCCTCCATATTCAGTGGCTATATCACTTTGACGTAAGAGAGGATGGGAGAAACTGCCTGATGGGCAAAACATACGTCTTTTGATGCTTAACCAAACATCACCTCGGTTGACCGCGATATATTCTTGAAATGATCATTAATGCACCAATGATGAAAACACCATAAAAGTACTTTAGATCAAAGTGAATGCGTATTATTTATTTCATCCTTTTATGAATACTGAATGTAATTAATTGACAGTTACAACGTGTCTTCCCATATGTCCCCACTCCTACCCCCCTCGCCGTAGTGAACAGGATTTATAATACAATTGATAATAATATTTATTATATATATCTATACTAAATGCTAACTACTAGTGTTTATGTTCTATATTATTCTGAAATGTCCGAAAACATTATTATCAATATTATTACTATTATTATTATTGTTATTAATATTTTATTAGTGTAGTTGACATAATCCTTATGAATTTTCATCAACAACATAGATGTATTGAAACTGTATATTGACGTTGAATACACAACTCATTTTTAGAGGGACAAGGACACTTGTAATTCACTAGACTGGAACTAATTATCATATTCCCATAAAATCAGACTTAATTTTTCTGGATGCACCTTAGTCAATATGTAGGCTATTGTATTCATTATGTAAATGCGTTAAAAGTACACAAGTGATCTGTCATCACAAGAGCAGTGCCCATAATATTAATGACAATCATAATAATAATAGATATTGTCAACTATAGATGTCTAATATTTATGCATAAGTGTAGAAAGCATAAATATAATCATCAAAGATATTTCGGATACAAACAATGTCAATAATTTACCGAAAATTTGTGTATGATTCCGAGTTTCCATAAATGATGGCTGGTTGCGGGAATGGGTGGGGTGGGGTCGAAGTTTGGAGGTTGGAGGTAATATGTTTATCATTTCCAGTGCATAATGAGTAAATAGTGTCACGTCTTATACTGCTAAAAAAAGCCAAATAAACATCACAATCCTGTTTATAACCACGCATGTGATGATCCTAAGCTTTTGTTGTTTGATACTGTTTGTGTAACAACTTTAGAATGATCTAATTCTGTGTATGGTTTCCCGTTGTTCATCGATTGGTTATCTAAATGAATGCTGGAGGATTACTGAACTTTTGATGGGCAGCAATATTCAGTATTTCATGTCTGGTCTACAAAGTCTACAAACTGATAAACAACGTCTAACGCCAGCCATAGTAGATTTCAGTGGTGAATCTGCCATAGTACTAATGATGCCATACTCTTTGTCGAAATGTTTCTATTATAAATCTGAAATCAACTCAAGGTAGAGAGGTTGTCTTTCAGAAATTGATCTGAGAGTAATTTATAAACAGTTGTCTTTTTTGGCAGACTTCTAAATTTCTGTTGTCTAAACTAATGACGCGCACGCACTGAAAGTTCGTCCCCAGAATTTCTCTTCAGTTGACAGTGGCTAGTACTGCAATCCAGAAGGAGCATTTTGTTCTGTTTTGAACTCCTCGATCTGATACACTGCATGCCGATGGAGTGGTGGTGCCCTACTGTACATTACTTCAAACACCAAGTCTACTTGGTCTCGAGAGCCATCTGCTATGCTATTATCATAGTGAATTTCCTGTTGATTGGTTTTGCTGGAAGCGGTCCCTCTTGTTACCTGGGCCTCTGGAATAGATGCTTCAGCGAGATAAATGGTCATCTGGTGTTTAGATCCCTTTCATCACGCTAGCAGACGCTACTAGTTGTTGTGCCTGGTATACAACCAATCACCTCAATCAGTCAGTAGTGTGTAGTTCCACGTATCTGCACCCTTGAAGGATTCAAACACATGAAGGTTCAGTCTTTATCTAAATCCTGTGAAGACGTATATCGTGCCAGGCCGACGTCCAATAGATATCTGAAGTTAGTGGTAGATGTCCACTGTTATGCTGGAGAGGTATTCACTGGTTACCGTCTACAGAATTCCGAATAATTGTCTAGTATTAGTTACTCAGCCTACCACTAAATTTATTTTTGTTTGTCATACGGCTGTTCCGTGGTTAATCAAAACGATTTTAAGCCAGATCAGCAATTATCTCCAGCTATTGGTTTTTAGCATCTCAAAGACCCCGACCAGATAGTTTACACCTTCCCGCATGGCTCAAACTAGCTGTTATCATATTTTGATTTTATCAGCAACTGGCTCTTTTCATACCCAATCTTTGAGCAGACGTTAGTGCTATATTCGTCTTTCGTTATTTGGCGAAGCATTGGCAGAATCTCATCCGCGAGGTCAGGTGAAACCAAAGTCTTTATCTAGCAGGATAGGTAAGCACACAACAGTAATATGAACGTTATGAACGTTGTTATACTTTCGCCACTGACACGAATTTTGAGGTAGAGTACTGCTTGTGATATCTACAAAAAAAGTTCTTAAATTGCAAAGAGGAGGAGTGAGTTGTAGACAGGTGAAATAAAAACTATTGTTGAGCAATGTCGAATGCGCGGAAAGAGGATGAACAAACCCGACTATCAATTCCTTTTTCCAAATCAAAGTTTCAATGTAAGGTTTGTATATTTTGTCATCATTATGCTGAAGAACAATGATAGCTTCGCAATCAAATGAACCAGCTGAAAGAAAACAGCTAAACTACAAGTGAATCACTCTTTCTGTGTACACCTTTCTCATGACTAAAGATTGAATCTTTTCAGCATTGCCACTTAACTGATCGTTTGTTAACGGGTTTGTTAGCCAAATTACACTGTGAAAGGTTTAATGTTGTTTTTAGTTTGCTGAGAAAATAGTAAGTGTTAAATTACAAGTGACACTTCCGCACTTACTCACTCTTTCACTCACTCACTTACTCACCTTTAACACTCGCCGTTCGTGTACAGTTATACAAAACAGCTAATTCACCCAATACTGTTGGACGATCCAAAACTCTTAACTTTCGACCATCTTTAGATATTTCTAATTTTCCCTCTATATGAAAAAAATACAAATTAAACAAAAAGAAAGATGTCATTAGAAAGTTAACTGTCTCAATGTATACAAAAATTAGCAAATTAATTGAACAACTTACAAAAATTCAGTTGTAATTCTAATGTTCTTCGATGATGTAAACGAAATACACTTTGTGATTTTTCCCTTTACTGAAAAAATGGTTGGGATGGCGTAAATTTGTGCTATCTTAGTCCAGAAATTAGGTCTAACTTTGCAGATGTGTGTCGATAGTTCTGTGCTTACCAACCACACTGAAGGCAAAGTTTTAACTCCTGATAGACAGTTGCATACCAAAACCTTCCCTAATTTACTAACCAGTAGTAGGTCCAGATAGCAGGTTGACTGTGAGGCTAGCAATCACACACCATGTGAAGGAACGACACCGTCGTTAGTGAAACTTCATAACTTGAAACCTCAAGTTCCACTTATAATACAAAGAATAAAAATAATTATGCATTTGGAGATGATGGTCATTTTGAAGCTAATGAAGTTTCGATTCACGTTTAGCTGAAAGCGAATTTGCTAATTTACGCCACTGTGATATACATGCACGCATTCGCCTAACTCTTTATACACATATATATATTTCCGGGTAATTTTGTTCTGCAGTAATCCCTCTCCTCTTGAATATGTTATCCATAGATTAGTATCATTATTCCCTTAGGTCCTGAGTTGGACATAGGGCTTCAACAGCACATCTCCATTTCGTCCTGTTGTCGCAGGTCGTCTTCAGCTGGCTGTACGATCCCTCATAGAACAAAATATAAATATGTAACATCTTTTGCATTCAAGAAAATACTATTTATGAACCTCGAATTCAAAGGTGCCAATATTCCTAACAAAAAATGACCACAAAATCTTTGAAAACAATATTCATTTCAGCATCACTGACTGATGGAAGAGTTTAGCAGTATATTCTAATTTTCCAGTAATCTAAAAAGTAAGATCGCACAACTGTGCTTACTCTTTGTATGTATACAAGCTCACCTGCTCTTCACAGCTAGATATGTCAGTCGATTAACATTGGTTCTGTTCAAAAAGTCCCAGCAAAACAACCCCGTGTGGTTATCAAGAGGTGGAAATTGTTCAATAATTAGCACAATAGTTGAATATCATTGTGCAAACTGGTTATCAAATCTCAACAACCTCTCACTTTGAAGTTATCAACAAGACGAAAAATACCGTGAGAAAACCAGCTCAAGTCAGCTTCATCTGTATTACTCAAGCATTAGCCATTGAAATAGAGAAACTAGGTATGTGCATAGAAAAGAAAATTAATTATTCAGGTTCTTATATTTTCTTGGTTTTAACACATTTATTGGTTGCAGGATTTCATCGTGAGCTGATATCGTTTAGAGAGCCATTGGAAAACCCACCAGGGAGTATTGGACAACTGTTTCGTCAGTCTAGTTTGGGACTCTTCATCAGTGCGCACACACCGCCTGGGTTAGAACCCAGGACCTTTTTGGTTACAAGGCGAGCCCGACCCAGTGGCCAGCCCATGAATTCCAACTACTGCCAATTGACGATATAGCACTATCGCAAGCCTATGTCTTCAGAGAGTATTTGTCCTCACATCCGACCTACTGCACCCTACTGCTCATGACTTCCCACCAGAACTACAGGTAACTACCTACCTGAACGTAGTCAGTCAATAGTTAGCATCTCATTGATATTCAAGTATTGATTCGTAAAGATTTGAATGATTGGTTGCCGGATTTCATCGACCCAGAAGGTCCTGGGTTCAAAACATGAGGGTAAGTGCGTACTGATCATGAGTTCAAAACTAATGAAATAGCTGTCCAGTACACCCTGGTGGGTTCTCCAAAGGTTTCCTAACCGATATCAACTCATGATGGAATCCTGAAACCAATCAATCACATCTCTAGAAACCAATACTTGATTAACACATTTATTGTATGGAGGATTTCACCATGAGCTGACATCATTTAGAGAACCATTGGAAAACCTAGGAGTACTGAACAGCTGTTTCGTCCTGGTTTGAAACTCTTCATCAGTACGCACCCACCGGGTTTGAACCCAGGACCTTCTGGTTACAAGGCGAGCTCGTAGACCACTGACCCACTGGCACCCGTTCCAATGGTTCTTGAATTCTAACTTCTGCCAGTTCACGACATAGCGCGACCACTTCGCAATGTCTTCCTCGACGAGTTACTGCCCCATCTTCGACCTGCTGTACTCTACTGGTCACGGCTTCCCACTAGAACCCCAGGTTAACTGCCTGGACAGGGCCAGTCGCTAGTGAGCATCAGATTAATTTTCAATTATTGGTTTTGTAGGGATTTTTGTATGATTGTATGGAGGATTTCACCATGAGCTGACATCAGTTAAAATCAAAGCTTTGAGATAAAATTTATTAGAAGAAGACCTCGACACCCTTTACTCAAGATAATTCATTGTGTAACGTCGTCATTTTGTATTTGCATGCTCATCTTCATCTTAGTGCCTCGGTGGTATAGCGGTTAGGACTCTCGCCGACCATGCACATGGTCAGGGATTCGAGCCCACGCCGACGCACACCTGATATCTATGGTCGGCCTGTGAAATTCGGGCTACCGATATCCATGCTGAAAATTCCATACTTGTACCAAAAATACAGTGTGGAATCAAGCTGTAACCATCCTGAAAAATAAAAACTGCTACAAAAACTTCAGGCCGCTAGCTTGAAGCCCTATGTTCCACTGGGGAATGTGGAGGAAAAATAAATAAAAAAAATAATAAATAAATGCTCATCTTCATGATACATAATTTATTACTTCTCAGGCATTTTTTTCCAATATTGCGCAACTATGTGTCCATAATTAATTAATGATTTACCTGTACTATGCTCCTGTTATATCCATGTGTGGGTGTTTTGACTCAGTGTACATAAAACATGGAGATAATAAAGTCATCTTTCTTACTCTTTATAGTTCAGTTGAAAGTCTTTTCTCTTTAGAAGAGAGCAAAACACGTGATATCGTGACAAGCAACTCTGTTGTTTCGCAGTTGAATAAAAGAGAGTAAATGGATGTGAATTTAAAAAATCATAGTAACTGGAAAGTTTTAGATAACCATATGACACTGTGAATTCATGACTCATAAAAGCAGCTGATGGCTACTTGAGTAATTAATGATAGATTTATATTCTACTATAACACAGAAGATTTCATCCTGTGCCTAAAGTATATTACTTATGCACGTGACCTATATATTTCTTTACACTGATAGGTCATCAGGAAGCAACCAGTGTCATACCTCTTGTCCATGATGTACCTGCAGACTAACTTCTATCGCCAGTCGGGTTCGCACCAGTATAAGTGACTCACCGTCGCAGTATACTCCAGAATGATGTTAAATGATTACTGGCAGACAGGTCTTGCTGAAGAGTGCCAGCAAGTGTGAAACCTAGGTCTTCGGTTCCCTGACGGCTGTCTCCAAACATCTGTCTTACATTTCTTTACTTGTTAAATATGAAACACACCGCATGGTCTTTTAGTACTGAATAATAAATACTATGGACCATATTTTTCATCCTTCTTTGTTTTTAAATAATGCTGCTACTATTTCCGTGGAGTTTACTTCACTGTTGTTCTATAACCAAGTATTTTGAAAATAAATACACATCGAAAAGAAACTTCTCAGTTTGAAATAACCATATTTTGAAGGCGGATATCATTTCTCTTGTTTCATTGATTAGCAGAACCAACTTTATCTTGTGTTGATTTTAAACATTAGAAAGAAGAGAACACGAAGTTCAGCAAAGATGGCGATCTTTTCGGCGATTTCATTCTCAAAAGCAGCTGTACAATCACATCTATATAGATTATTTTACATGGAAACAATTATTATTTGTTTAATTCCACACAGTAACGAAGGTGATAATAATTTTCAACTTGATATGAAAGTTTGAAAGCACGAATATAGATTACAAGGAGCTTAGAGACAAGATTGCATAGGATTAGAAAATAGTTACAATGTATACAATCTTGTCTCTAAGCTCCTTGTAATCTATATTCGTGCTTTCAAACTTTCATATCAAGTTGAAAATTATTATCACCTTCGTTACTGTGTGGAATTAAACAAATAATAATTGTATCCATGTAAAATAATCTATATAGATGTGGTTGTACAGCTGCTTTTGAGAATGAAATCGCCGAAAAGATCGCCATCTTTGCTGAACTTCGTGTTCTCTTCTTTCTAATGTCCATATGGATGTTTTCCACGATTTGATGTCAAATTGTTGCTTGAATTCTTAAGTTTAGAAGAGTTGATGTCTTTGGATATTTACATGAGTCCTGAAGGTAAGACTGTTTTCTGTATCAGCCAATCCAGGACATGTATATACTAAATATTTAGTCAGTTCACAGAAGCAAACTCCTCGTAGCCAACACCTTTAAAGGGTGCTGCTGCTCTGATAGATAAAATTAATTACATCTAATAATTTCAGTTTCATATATTTTACTCTGTGCTGTAAATTTCTTACGGCGATGAGGATGACTGATTATTGATGCCACAAATTCAGACCTCCTCTTTTTCTGGGTTTAAGACCAGCTAGCAAATTAGTAAACCAGTCGGCGTCTTATCAACTATAGGCGCCACGGATTAGAATGTCAAAGTAGCACAGGCGTTAATAACTCTCAAATCAGTAGGAAAATTTAATGTAATCAGGTATAAGAAAGAAGGTCCTAATTTTCAGCACTAATGGTTGGTTCCCAGAGTTGGTGCGCGTGTCACAACAGACTACTACAGAGCTTTATCAACAGTTGCCTTTGCTGACTCAATACTGAGGATCAGACAGCCAGTCAGAAAGGAATGTAAGCACCAAGGAACTTCGGCAGCGAATCGACCGAGGAAATGCTGTCCAATAAATATGCTGAAGGAAATAGAGTCGGACTAGTCATCCACTGAGGAGACTGTTGTGTGACATCACGCTTTGGGCCCACAAATGGGACTAATGGTAGAGGTTTAGAAGTACG